TGCTTACTGATGAATCAGGCAAAACAACTCCGTCCTCAAAGATTGGCAGGTACATAGGTTCATAGATTTTATGTCAAGCACGTAATAATTGGACTGTGTTTACAACTCCAGGAACCGAAACGGAAGTGCTATATCTTTATTTTATATAGGGATCGTAATCTTTATGGGGTGCTGAGGGAAAGTGTAATGGCACAACGAGGTACCTTTTTGACAAGATTCTTAGTCAGTAAATAACGGTATTCTACACCTCATTTTCTGAAATAATGCTTCACAGAGTAGAAGAGAGGTGGGAGAGGGTTTTGCTAAAAGCGGGCCCGCGGCCCACGGCCCACGACGGCCCCGCGGCCTGGAGGCCCGGCGGCTCGGAGGCCCGGTGGCTCAGTCCTGGTTTTCGACAGTTTTTTTGTTCAGCGGTAAATCCACGCGCATGCACAGATCTGCATCGGGTTAGGGCGTGCAAAATGGACGACGGTGATTTTGAATTCGTTTACCATTTAATCATTTGAATCCTTGTTTCTGTTTGTTGCATGTTGTTCAGATAAAAACGTTTTCATTCTCTGCTCATTCGTCTCTTTACAGAAACCGATAGCACAATAGACGACTTTCATTGTCGAACGATGTAAGTTATTTTCAAACCATACTTTGAAAGTGAAATTATCATAAGTATTGAGAAATGTGAACTGCGAATCTTTTTCTATACAGAGACATGTGGGTCTATTTACGGGAACCCCACCTCAAAAGGAGAGCAGGGCAGAGTTTTTCAAACTGTGGTTTGAAAATAACTTACATCGTTTGAGAATGGACTTCCTCTCTATCTGGTTCTGTAAACAGACGAATAAACAGAGAATGACAACGTTTTTCACTTAGCAACATGCAACGAAAGAAAGGGTCGAAAAGGATTGAAATGATGAATTACTTTGTCTGGCTGTGGGCACACTGTAAATTCACGGCATTCATGATCAACCCGTGCTCGCAATAAGCATTTTCCTCCCGGAAAAGTCCCCTCGAGAGACCGATCCGCACGGGCCGTTTACTTTACGAAGTCTAACTAAGTCTGTGGCTTAGGCCAGTCTCAGTTCGCCTCCAAATGTTTTTGTTAGGAATTTGTTTATCTTGGCTGCAAGGTTTCTTGACGCTGTTGACGGCAAATAATGCTCAGATGTGATTGATGGCCAAATTCAAAATGGTTGAATGCGGTTTGGATTTTTTTTGTAACGGCGTTAAACTCTATAATCATTAACCTGTCCTATGAGTTTAGCAGTTATTGTAAGAAGGGGGTACTACAGTAAAGGAGTAAGAACTGTTTTCTATAGAATTAACAAAGTAAGTTTTAAGATAGATTAATAGAAATGAAATGAGATAAATGCTGCATTGCAAAGAATTCACTTACATAGCTTGTTTCCACTTGTTTCTTTGCTCGGCCAATTTAAGCAACTCAAACGTTAACGAAATCAGTATAACGACATAAGTAACTTATCCAATTTATGCCAAATTTTTCACTTGATCGAATTAGTTCTATGGTGATCTTTCTTGCCTCAAAATCTAATGAATCCGATTGTTCAAGGTGGTAAAAGGTGCCACAGTAAAATCAACAGTAGCATTTAAGACTTTCTTTTACACACTCANCTTTACGAAGTCTAACTAAGTCTGTGGCTTAGGCCAGTCTCAGTTCGCCTCCAAATGTTTTTGTTAGGAATTTGTTTATCTTGGCTGCAAGGTTTCTTGACGCTGTTGACGGCAAATAATGCTCAGATGTGATTGATGGCCAAATTCAAAATGGTTGAATGCGGTTTGGATTTTTTTTGTAACGGCGTTAAACTCTATAATCATTAACCTGTCCTATGAGTTTAGCAGTTATTGTAAGAAGGGGGTACTACAGTAAAGGAGTAAGAACTGTTTTCTATAGAATTAACAAAGTAAGTTTTAAGATAGATTAATAGAAATGAAATGAGATAAATGCTGCATTGCAAAGAATTCACTTACATAGCTTGTTTCCACTTGTTTCTTTGCTCGGCCAATTTAAGCAACTCAAACGTTAACGAAATCAGTATAACGACATAAGTAACTTATCCAATTTATGCCAAATTTTTCACTTGATCGAATTAGTTCTATGGTGATCTTTCTTGCCTCAAAATCTAATGAATCCGATTGTTCAAGGTGGTAAAAGGTGCCACAGTAAAATCAACAGTAGCATTTAAGACTTTCTTTTACACACTCAATAATGCACTTAAAAATTACTTACACGTTAAAGGTTTTTTGTTTTTCATACTGGCCGGCCTTAAGACTGATTTTATGCTGTGGGTCCCAGGTATAAAGAAATGAAGGAGAACTGGGAAAAGTGTACATTTTTAATTTCGGAGGATATTGGAGGTCTCACTTTCATAAGTTTTATTGCGCATAACTAAGGAAAAAAATATAATATGCGGAGTTTTGCCCAGGAGTGAGGTCAAGATAACTAGATATTGACCTAATTCTATACATTTTACGTCGATATCAATTAAAGCTCAAAAGCATGGTGCAAACCTGGTCAACAAAGGATTTATCGTATGGCAAAGAGAAGTTTTTTTCTTGCGGGACTAAAGAGGGGAATCCCGAGAGGGGAAGATTTAAGACCATGCTGAACATTTTGAACATGACGTGAATGTAACGTTGAAGCGCACAGATTCGAAGCATCAATAATTGCTGCCTAAGGAGGAGTAATTATGCCAATTGTTCAGAAGTGTTAAGCAGCGTGGGAAATTTCTGTTTGCGCTATACTCTTGAACTTCCTCCAATGTACAACTTTTAAAAGGGGGAATTCTCTGGTCAAGGTCTTGTCACAGTTTTTCGTTTCAGTTTCTGCCCTTTTCCTTCCAAATCGAACCAAGATTCCACACAATTGGTTCCATGATTGTGTGAAGAGTTTTCGATGGTTTTCCGAATATTTTTAATGAATAAAGAGTGGGGGCATGTTTAAAATTATAGAAAACTGGAAAAATATTGGATTTTGGGGTTGTGGAAAATTAAAAAATAAAAGGAATTATTAGTAGACAAATACCAGATAGTTCACCACCAAAACAAGGTGACTTTGAGCTCATTAGTGAGCTAACCGGTTAAAATGGTTTCTTTGTATTTTATTTATCTCTATGGTGATCTTACCTACTCCGAAACCTTGAATACTTCTATTAGTTCACAATTTAGGCGTTAAACTAATGACTATACTTGATTCAGGTTTTTGTTTTAGTTCTTCAGTCGATGCGTAGCCAAATCGTTGTGGGTAATTCCCATTAATTAAGCCAAAATGTTCGGAAATATTGGTGGAAAAATAAAGATGTTTCTTCTTCTTTTCTCACTTACTGTACACCCTACCCACCCTAAAATAGAAAAGCGTGAACAACTTTGTATGTTACGGCAATCGTTGACGCGGACTCTGAGCCTGCGAGCAAGCTCTCCACATGCTCTATTTGGTGGATATCGATCTTGAATTGTCACGTGCGAGGGGCTTGCGAAAGGAGACGAGAGAGCAAAGGGGATTTTGTCACGGCTCGCTTCTCTGGTCATTCAAATTGGAGAGCTTTGATCGCCGGTCTCCTCTCCCTACCAATCCTTCTCTCTCCCCCTAACCCTCCCCTAACCCAAGGTTAATACTAACTTCTCAATCAGTGCAAAATGTTGGGTTAGTGAACCGGCCTGTCCCAGGCTTTCAGATATGAAGGACAGCGCAAGGAAAAAGCTCCATTTCGTCCTCCAGTTCCCCAATGAACTCTTGGAACAGGTTATGCTCTAGCGCCAGCAATAAGGCGAACGGATCGTACGTAATGCCCTTTTTGAGCGCGCCGGAATAATGGAATAACGAAAAGTTTCTAGAAGAAATAATTCGATGGGTGAAAAGGGATAATAGGGTCTTCATAAATTTTTTTCGACAATTTTCTTTATTTCGTTCCAAAATTAAGCTTATTCCACCATGGAGCTAGGAAAATGAAATTGGGATCCTTTTTTATCCATTTGTCAAGGCAATCGTTGATGTTATAGTGTTATGTGATTGATTCCTGGGGTAAGAAACCAGGTAAACAGCTGACACATAAGACACCCAATCCTAAGGTAGGGCCAGCCTATCTCAGTCGGTAGAGTGCTGGACTGCAGGGAGGGGGAAGGTACAGAAGGGTAAATCTCCCTCCCTCCCTATTATGTTTCTCCCACCCCTGCAGGGCAAAGGACTCGGGGCCAGACTCAAACACACAATTGAAAGTATTTCCTCAGCCCTGTAAACGGCTGGATTGCAAAACATCCCTTTTCCTTTCTTCTTCTCAAAATCGGTTTTTAAGGGGCGAGAGTAACGCGCACCTCATGAGAATCGCGGGCGTATCAACACCCACGGCTGGAGATCGAGCCTATTTTCACCTTCGTTCTTCATGACCGCTCGCGCATTCTTGGTCGGAGCAAAAATACGGGCTTTTTTGCAGTCTAGCAAACGGCTAGACCTTTGCGTTCCTCGATAGCATATTGAAAAGGAGTAACCGTCTGCAGCAGAAAACGCAAAAAACAGTGTCCTCAATTTATACTTTCATATTTCTCATGCGGGCCGTTATTTAAAGCAACTGGTAGTCCATAAAGTCGTTAAAAAAGGTTTTAATTTTAATATATTCATATAGGTGGTGGAAATATTTCTGTGACCGTACAAAGTTTTATTTTATTTTAATACTATACATATTCTCAGATTTTTATATGATATCTTTTTTGTGGCAATACATGGAAAATAGCGATACTTACAATACTGTAATGGGCTAAGTGGATTAGACCACATAAAATAAAGTTAACACTAGCTACTATTACTGCTATTGCAGATAAAGTGGTTTTATCCCTCAGAGAGTCTGCTTTAAACGGGTCAGAAATTACTCTTTTCCGTTTAAACACCTCTGAGTCACCTCTGAGTGACGTCTTACAGGAAGCCCATATTAGCTTGGCAAGATTGATTTAAAGTGTCGGATCAGTGAAAGCCGTGGTAAGTTTATGAAGTCGCCTCATAACAAATCAGCTATCACAGGCAGCCCACACTCAGTAAGCACATCATACAGACATCCCACATTTAGATAAGACCGCTGAGAAAGGAACGCCAATGCAGCGTCACATGGGTTTAGTGTTCTTCTGTCAAGAAAACGAATCTCGTTTGGGGATAATCCCAGTTTTTCAGCAACGTCCTTCCATTGATCTCCACCTGCCAATATTTAAAAAAATAACGATAATTTCTTACATAGAAATAGATGAATGGGCAACGCTTCACCGATCCAAAGCAGTTCGGTGATTGGCAAAAACAATCAAATTGCTTTCTTAAGAATACGAAACGAATTATTTTTTCAACTTACCAGTATTTTATAAACGTCTGATAAAAAGAATTTTTTCGCAAAGTTTTTCACAAGTCTTCAAGGTCAAATCGACGACCCACAATAACACTTGTAAAAACAATCGAGCTTAGCAAAGACGACTGGTAGTCGCAGAAACGTTGTGTTGGTAGCATTTATCCTTCTTACAAAATGCTTAGATGTAATCGTATATCGTTTCAAGACTATGGGAATTGTCAAAAACACCTCACAAGGAATGCTCACTTTTTGTGTAATCGAGTTTTACGCTTCAATTTTGTACATACTTAGCCAAAATTAAATGTTAAACAGCTCGTCTAGCTGGCCATTCACTATTGATTATGATGGAAAAACAAATGGAGGTGGCAACAGTATACACCTGTTCCAGGCCGAGAATGACAAAGTCACAGACAGGCCAAGCTCTCATTTTGAAGAGGTATGGTATAAAGGTTAAGAAGGACCCTGATTTATAGTCATCATTACTAATCCTGGGCTTCCTGTATGTACTATACTAACCGCTCAAATCAATGGTGATTTCTCTCATCTGACCAACAGGGATATTCCGAATATCGAGGTGATCGGACAACAGAGGACCTAAAAATATAATAAAAAATCAACGTGATCGGAAACGGCGACTACAAAAGGCAAAAACATTGCGACGATGTAATTAATAAACTAGCAGCTACGAGTTCAAAATCAACCATTCAAAACCTCGTGTCAGCAAACGTGGCCTTCCTCAGACAAGAAACTTCACTACATATTGTCTTGACACCCGACAAAGAGTTAGTCTGGATGAATTAACATTACATCCATAGAGCAGTAACAAGCAATACTTCTAGTTCCCTAACATCACAGAGACCAGCCTACATAGAGTGTAAATTTCTTTCTATGACAAGAGCAACATGTAATTCTAGCTACACTTTTGAAAACGTAGCTGCCCAATATTGCAGCCATTTGACCGGAGTAAGGCTGAAATGCAAGTTTTGGGGTCCGATATTCTCGAAAATCGCAAGAAAGAGAAAATACAGATAGCTAGAAGAAGGGAATAAGGAGAAAAGAAAAAACGAAAAGATTACTACTTTCGACTTGAGCACCAAAACGTCGAGCTAGAATTATAATTGTAATTTGTTTTGAGAAACTTCTATTAAGCGTGTGCATTCTAGATTTGAAATGCAAGAGTTGTTGTCCTTTGCACAAGTAGCTCTCACATTTTGCTTGCTAAGGACCATTGCTTGCTTGCCCTAGCTAATGATTTAGTTACCAGAGACAAGACAAGTGAGGTTAAAACGTTATTTACCCAAAGAAAAAATCTACTTGTCCCAGACGACCTGAACAGGAGGTTTTTGAAGCGCTGCACCAGGATACTAAGAATGAGAACAAGCAGCAAACTTGACCCAAATATGGCGTCGACTCCAAGATGCAAACCCAGGCTACATCGGTAGCGCCGATTTTGACGGCACGTGTTTTTCTTAAGACTATCGTCATGACCTAAGGACAAATCGGTTCGCGTAAATTAGACACACGATATTCGTACGACACATGTGGATGTTGTAAGTGAAAATTGTGCCTGTGTGGATAGTCGAAAGTAACGACGTATGCCAGTCGCACACGATTGTCGTAAGCAAAAATCGTACCGTCTAAATCGGCCTAAGGAGAGTGCTCTTAAAACTACGCCACGGTTTGACCTCGAAATGATACAATGCATGACTCTTGCAGTTCACCTGCGGTCCCAGCTGGTGTGATCTCTCTCAAGTGCTTGACCACGTCAAGCCTGTTTGAATGTTTAGCCTTCCTTGCCAAGTAACGAATCAATCTCTTGTTCTCAGGCGTCGGATCTTCCAAGGAGGCCTGGTGCCACTGAAGACTCAGTTTCAATTGATGTACAACTTCTCTGGGCTCGCATGACGCTGACAGAAGTGATTCCATTACCGTATCAGGGATAGCAATCCACGTATTTTCATTTCCTGCAAGATATGTCACCAGCACCCATAACTTCAACTGCTCCAACTTTAACTTTATTTAGCTTTATTTTGAGCTCAACAAAGACTTGCAACATTGTTGCGATATTGTTTCGAATAGTTGCAACATTGTTGCAACATTGCAACTTTGTATTGCACTAGATTTCGTCGTTGCGGATCGTCTCGTGTAACATCACCTTTAGACTCTTGACGAATGAACGACTATCCGCGATAAATACGTTAAACTGCTTTTACTTGACACTTTGCCAGCCGCCACTGCTGTTCCGATCCCAATCCACTCTGATTGACTGGGTGTTATTTTTGCGCGAAAGATGAATTCAAAAAAAAGACTGAAAGTCTAAAAACTGTGTAGCCTGCGCCTCAGACGGAACTAAACTTCCGGTTAAGTCCGTCTGCGAAACAGCGCCAAAGTTCTTGTTCTGGGTCCTCACCTGTGTACCAGGATTTGAGTATTCGCCATGATTGGCCTGTTAAAATAACCAGTGTCAATTTGCCAATCAGAGTGATGGGAAATTCAAAACACATTTTCGATAATCCGTTGATCCATTCGGTCCAAGAACAAGGATATCGGCGCTACTTGGCAGGCATTACTAAACGGTGTTAGAGATACAGAAGCTCCGGATTGGTAGCAGAAAAAAAGATTCTGAGAAGGGAGTAAGAACTAACATATGGGTAGGGTTCCTTCGCTGTTCATCCTGAAAAGGTCAGCGGTCGACGTGCAAGATGTAATCGTCTTGTGATGTACAATTTTTTACTTCATTGTAAAGAAAATGGCTGTCTAGTCTTTTTAGCCCCGTGGTTATTCCAGACAGGCAGTCCCACAAATTATTATTAGCTTGTTATAATCTTATTCTAATTCTGTTTTAATTATTGGTACAATAAAATTACTGTTGTTAAAGTTACTTTTGTGCGCAGTTCAGAGACGGGGAGCACTGTTTCAAATAATCCAGCAAATAACGGCTCGAGGAAATAAATAATCAAAAAATAAGAAAAAATAAAAATAAATCGCGGTAAGGTCACAGTTCCGTCAAATTATTCTGTCTGGAAGCTTCAACGAAAAGGTATGGAAATAAAAACCCGAAAGGTCTGAGATTTTACGGAAATCAGCATCACTTATCGACATTTCTACTACCGATGGGGTAGCGACTGTTAAACCATTGTTAATTAGTTGAAACTTACCTCCATTATCAGGTAGTCTAAGTCTTCCATCATGTTCATCAATCGCTAACTTTGATGATCATGGAAATGTAAAAAAAATTATTTAGTGTACAGAGACGGTTGATGAATACATTGTTATTACTTAACTCAAAACTGTAATCATATTCAAATGATAAAGGAAAAAAAACGTGAATGCCAGCGACTAAGTAAACGAGTGTAGATTAGCGGCACAGTTACTAGAAGAACGTCAAGTACAAATTTTACTTGAACAGTTCGAAAACACCTTTTTTTGGTGGACGCTGTCTCCTGTGAAGAAACACAGAGTCTTCCTAAAAGAAAATCCTGTGTAAAAGAAAGATACAGTAAAATTTTGCTGCATCTTACTTTCTTCACACTTGGATCAAAAGAGAATAGGTTAATGGTATGTTTATTGTTATACTTCGTTTTCAACGGCTGGTAGTGACTGCCCTGTTAGAAGACCCCTAGGATTGTCTCACGAGCCAACAAATAGATCGAACCACTGAATAAGCCGAAACACGATAACAAGGAAGACAAAACGGGAATATTTTCCTCATGCTTTTTCCAATTCTCCTTCAGCTCGTTCCCTCACTTTAGCGAGGAAACGCTTTTGCTTTACTCGATTGTATCAAAATCAAAGGTGCTACTAAAAGAAGTGTGGGAATTGACGTCATGGCCATGGAGGACGCTTTGCTTCGGACTTCATAACACTCACTTCAGAGCAAGCAGATCATAGCGAGCCTAAAGTTAGTAACGTTCACCGGCCGAGTTTGCTACATACTCTGCTTAACTCTAAGAAAGGGTCAATGCTCTAAACCTCTGCGCGCAAGGTAGCCTCATATCAACTAAGTTCATTAAAACAAATTTTTGTGTTTTCACTTCCACGTTAAAACGAAACCAGACTCTCTAGAAACTAACTCTTAATAAATTCAAAGGGTCCCCCCTATTTGATGGCGGGTAAGAGATTAAATACGATTGACAGCTGAGAAAACTAGTTTGAGGTTAGGATAATCACTTGTCAAGCCAATCTTACCCCTAAAGCCTCCTTAGCAATCAAATCAAGGAGACATAAATACCAGTTGTCCTCGTACTCAATCAGATGGTTTCTTAGTAACCATCAACGGCCGACCACGGGACAAGTGATTTTAGTGACTTGAACCCCTCTCAAATAGTCATTGTACCACCGTGCTTACCTGTTTACCTTCTGCTGCAAGCCAAGGTGCAAACAGATTGGCATCAACTCTGTTATTTAATGCAGCTGCCTCCTTAGTGCAGACAACCCTGTCAGCACTGCTCAATTCTGACTCAGACCAGAAGTGCAGACATTCCTCGCGTTCACATCCCTGCCTGTGATGAGTACGACAGTAGTTGACCACACCTCCCTGGGAACAGACCGGGCAGATGACACCTAGCTCATACTTCATATTCCTTAACCAACTGAACTCATTCCGCATGCACTCGAGCATCAAAACTAACTGTCTACACACAGCACGAGCACAGGCAACTTCAAACGCATCATAGTGGCCACTTGCAGAAGAATTCAGCGATGAGTGCAAGTAATCCACAGACTCGACCACAAGATTCCCTCGGTGAACAACAACTTCAATGGACCCAGAGTGACACAGGAGGACCACAGAACAGTCTTGGTCCTCAAACGTGTAAAACCTCGCAAAATTGAGGTACAACTGGGGGTTCACTGGGCTCCAGAATTCAGTTTTGCCCCACTGAAATAACTGCAGGATGAGTCGGGGAAACAGACCAGGAGGAACTTGTCCAGATTTAAACCTGAGGAAAAGAGAGGGAATTCGGGCAGAAGCAACCAACTTGATAATGTCCTGCGGCGGGTATGACAACAACATAGATGGCACCAGGTACTCCTTGGTACAAGACGAATCTGGTACAGGCCATGGACAAAGTAAGCTGAATTTCTCCATGATCGCAATGAGGCTCTCAAATGTGTCATGGTGATCTATCAAAGGACCCCAGACATGTTGTAGAAGGGATTCATCTAGTATGCCTGTCGTCTCAAGTTTATGCCACCGTTCTTTGACTTCCTTATTTTCATGGACATAAGGTTGAACGGTTATTACCTTCTTGAACACATCGATCAGCCATTGAGGGTCTAAGATAACCAAACTGTTCAACACCGCAGTTTCATCAAAATGGATCAAAATCCGCTGGTCATGGAAAAAATTCAGCAACGTCACAAACTCTTGATTATCATAAATTTTGCACACTTCAGAAGCAATATGTTTAGCTCTTTCGAGAGAAATCCATTTGTGCCCCTCTTCAACAGCGACTTGAATAGCCTTCTCGTATTTCAACCACTTGATCGGAATAACTTCTTTCATCTGTGGGAGCTCTTTGGCAACAGCAAGCAATTTTTCACGCAAGCGTGTGACCTCTGAACACTCGAATTCAAGGCCAGATTTCCTATTGTCCACGACAAACACATCATCATACAGGAAACTTTTGTACAGTTTGGACTGCAATGAGCCGAACACCTCACGGGCTGCTGCCAGAGGTTCTTTCCCGTCGTAAGGACGATCTGCGTGTGTGCAGACCAGAAACACAGGGGGAAGTTTCTCTGGCATAATTGCAGATCTAGGACCAGAATTTATCTGACCGGCCTCGCCTTGAGAGACCAGAGAAGCAACGGAATTCATCCAGAAATCTAGGCAGTCTAAATTGGTTTTTCTGCTGAAGGAGTCTTCGACTTTCTTGAACAATCCCTGTTTTACAACAGGCTTGGCTGTTTCATAAGGATTTCGGCTGAGGTCGTAAACCAGAAGGTAAATTGCTCTTGTTGTAAGAAAGAGTGGATGAGTTGTATAGTACACTGATTGACCACCAAAATCCCAAAGTACAGAATAAATGCCATCCTCTTCATCTGTTTCCTTGTTGCCTTTCTGCAAAAGCTTTTTGATCAAGCGTTCCACCTCTTCTGGTATCTTTGGTGAGGCTAGGTCCTCCGTCCTAGTCTGGGTTGCGTCAGGTAGCATTGGCAGTGTCTCGTCCAGAACATACTCGGTTTTATCAGTTTCTACTTTCCCAGGTATCTGAGGAGAATCTCTTGCACCTTCTGCTGTCTGACTTTCTGGGGGTCCTATAACGATGTCAAGGAATGGACCATTGTTATGGCTGTTTTCAGTACGCACTTCTGCAGTTGTCTGATTTGACACACCGCCTGCTTGAACATTTGAGTGTACTGTGTCAGTCAGAGGAATGTTTTCACACTGCACCACCTCTTCAGTCCTTTCACTGGGAACACTTTCTTCTTCGTTCAGCTTGTTCACAACCAGTCGAGCTGCATGGTGTTCGAAAGAAATACCTCCTTCAGAGATTCTTTCCTGATCTCTCTCCCCTGTCCTCCAAATTTCAGTTGAAATCTCAAAAAGTGAAGGGTCGACATCTATTCCTACAGTGCTGCCTTCATCTGGGTTGAAAGGCTGTCCCATCAGTGATTTTTTTAAGCTGGTTTTTCCAGCGCGATCCTGTCCAATAAACATGACTGGCACCCTCTTGACGCACGTCTTTCCTTCGGCGAGGGCTTTGTTGTACGCTTCTACAGCCAAGCGTCCACGAAGGTTTATTTCTGGAGGAACCACTGTAAATGTAAATGAAAAAATGTATTATTTTTCTCGAAAGAAATGTGGGCAAACATTGCAAAGTAGCCAGCTGCTCATTACACAGCGAGCACTCACAAGGTTGTAGCAAACACGAGGCAATATCATTGAGTGCAGGGTAACTGAGCGGATGCACTAATTTACGTTTGACTAGTGCAAATATCTTGAGTATTTTTGTCTGAAGCCTTCTGCTTTCTCATAAATTAATAGTTACGTACCCTCCATAACTAGATAACTGCTTATTCACATGGCGCAAATTGCTTTTCACTAATAAAAATTTCATCTTAAAGAAAATTAATACTTGTAAAGGAGTTTTTGCTATTAACAGGGAAACCCTATCAGTACAGTTGATTTGACCACTTTCTATCGACTAGAAATTAAAGCTATAGAGTTTTGGCAGTGGGAAGGCGAATACTATTCCTTGTTCCATTCTTTTCGCAGTTTTATGTTTAAGTGACAGCTCTGCTAACGGTTCAGGAGAAACAGCACTTCTGACCCCACTGAAAATCCCTGGGTCGGCGTGGATGTTAACCTTTGACCCCTCACAGTGACTAATATTTAATTTCTCCTTATAGTAACACTGCTCCATCAACATAAAGCCACAAGGAAATAGAAAATAATCACAAGTAAAAAGTTCTTAATTGCTAAACAAATTCTCCTCATCTGTACCATAGGAAATGTATGAAGAACAGGATGGAGAATAAAGATACTGATACAATAACACCCACATATGAGGACCTATGATTTGGGGGTTCAAGCTAATCAAGTTTTTTTCTAACCAGGTGCCAAGTGAGAAATCAGCCTGAAAATGCTCTTAAAAATTTTTCAGAAATACTATACATTATATATTACAAGAGGTTTAATTAACAAACAATGTTTTATTACTTGCACTAAAAATAAATTTGAAGTAAAACAATAATATTACTATTGTAAGTAAACATACTAGTTACTGTATTGGTTTCTCTTTCTGGCATCCTCTATATCTTTATATAAGAACATGAACATTTCTTTATCAAGCTGAATTGGTTTTTCAGTATACGCCAACTTTTAGCCTAAAATTTTTAATCCACTTGTTCTTATATGCAGGTGTTTGCTGTATCAAGGTTTGATAAAGGGTCACGACTTATCCTGCTGATAAAGGGTTATGTTACTCTTCTGTGTGATCACACTGCACAAATATGGATACAACTGGAATCAAGGCCTGCATTGCAGCCGGACTTGTCACTCAAGACCCAGATAAAGAACTTGATATAGTCCAACTGTCTATATTGAGGATTTAGACTGTCTGTGATGCAGGCTACTGTTTATAAGTATACCTTCTTCATTCTTTGTGTGTTGCTCAGCATTGGTTTCCTCTCTAAAATTACAAAAAATATAAACAATACTTATCAACTGTAAACTTGCATTAATTTGATTTCCAAAGGGGAGGGGAGCTAATTATCACAGCCCTAAACTACCATTCAGCATAAAACAAAAAAACCAAAGGAGTGGATTGCCAGTTGGTGGAATATCTTTCAAACAAAAACCTGGAACAGCCATAGTAGAAATTAGACCTGCTTTTCCTGGCCAGTGATTGTGTAAGCTATAACTTGGAATTATGCATTACTAAGATACATTCAAGAATCAATTACATACAACCTATTTCTGCATGCTATATAAACTATTCTTGACTAACAGTTGTACCTGATGTTCCCTTCAATGCAAAGAGAACTTAGAGCCTGTTCCAGTCCAGTTTCTTGGCCAGAGACATTCTCCTCCATTCCAAGGACATTTTCCAATTCTAAAATAAGTTTGGACATTTCTGAGTAAAATTGTGGATTTTTTGTCTCTGAGGTTTTATGAGCAAGATGTTTCAACGATTCTGCAAAATCAGCTTTCTGTTTTTTAGATGCAGTAAAATGAGAGAAACTTTCCACTTTGGCAGTTTGAAGCATACTCTGCAACAAAATCAAATGTTCAAAATAAAAGTTCATGGCAAAGATGGGTATGTCCTAGTTCAATTTTGTCCTTGGTTTAAATTTGATTTTCTTAAATGTCTTTTGGGTGTGGTAATGTATGGTAACGAGTTTAAAACAAAGGGAAATCAAATTTACCGTAAACCAAGAATATATTAGAACCACCACCGGTTCATCCAGTGTATAAAACGGCAAACCAGGTACCATTGTACACTGTTGATCTTTCTTTAAAGAAAAAAAATGAATTAAGGGGATGAAAATGTAAGGCATCAAAATGATTAGAAGTCTAGGCCTCATCTTGAATATGTTGAAGTTTATTTTTTATTTCAGGTAATTCTTGTTTTCCTTTTGTTTTTGGGTATGGTAATGTATGCTAATGAAGTTGAAACAAAGGAAAAATAAAAATTAACAAATGTGATAATAATTAGTTAAGACCTCATCTCACTTATAACAATATAGCTACAAACACGTTCTGGGGTATGTTAAGTTTAAAAGCATATTGAACTAAAACTGTATTCTGATTTTGGGGTTTTAAAATTATTGTTACCAACTAAACAATATGCCTTTGCGTCTGGTTATTCATTCATTCAAAATATTTCCCCGATTCTGATTGGCTAAAAGCACACGCATAATTCACCATAACCAGACCAAATTTGGAAGAATTTTGCGATTAATCAACCGATGATGTCAAAAGTTAATGCACCATTAACCGAGAAGACCTGAGGACGAGGTTGAGTTGTTTTGGTTGTGAAAACAAAAATGGCAGACATTTCACTGATTACAAGAGTAAGAAATAACTAAAAACATAGCAAGAACAGCAAGAAGACAACTCGAAGAGCGACATCTGCTATTTGAAAAATATTTGCAGAGCTGAACAACCCTAAACGTGCACTATAGAAGACGAACTTAACATCGATGGAGGTAAGCATGTTTTAACTATGTTTTTAAACTAGGAATTATTTTGAATGAATAATAAAACTAGCATTGAATTGGGCTTTCGTATCGTATAAAGACTTATGGAAATCTTGGAGGGTGTTATCCGATAACACCCTCCTCAATCTCTATTATTCTTCATAAGATACTCAGACTCGTTCATTAATTGGTAATTAATTGCAGTGTTATTAATACTTGAAATTATTGATAATCTGCACAAGTTGCAACTTTCAATTAAGCTCATAAGATCTCTCATTTACATTTTAAAACAAAACATACACATCCCAACCATCGAGGATATCATGAATGCACAATCGTGGACATCTCATAAGCTCAACTGGATAGAGAATTGCCTCCAGTCATAAAAAAGTCAGGGTTTCAATGCTGTTGGAGCTTCAATTGTTTTGGGTATATATACTTTTTAAACTTTATACAGCTATTTAGGACCCTTTGACAAAAACCGTGCACAGCCCAAAACTAGACAAAAAGGAGACATTTTTTCAATGATGCATGCGGTATTGCACAGAATTTGACTTTAACGTATTGTTTATCCACTTACGTACCAGAGAAATGCCTTTTAATGCCCTTGTTTTTACTTTCACTCCACAGTAGAATTAAATTGAGCACGCGCTATTCGACCCGTGATAGCTCAATCTGTACAATTTAGTAAAATTGCCAAAAAACTGAACATAGACTTGTGGCACTTTTTTCCTCATCGAAAGGAAGCACTGTCCCTATTAACATCATGAAATAAAAAATGGGGGTCACCGTACTTGTTTTTGTGGTAGAGCTGCAGAAAGTGCGCACCAAATGCATTTTCTCCGATTTTTGAGAGAGGACTGGGGTGAGTTTCAAAATAGAATGTATGTGAAAGGGGGAAGAAAGTATTAAAAAATTCATTTTTACAGAATTTACATCGAGATATCACATTTAGGACACAATGTGACAAAGAAAGCGTTCAAATGAAAATCAAGTGAGTAAGCACAAGTTAAACATCCACTATCGAGGTTCTCTGTAAAGAAGTCTAACTCAGCAACATGAGTACTGCTTACGTTATGCACATTCCCAACACATTGAGTCCCACCTCCGCAAGAAACAACCGCAAGCAAAAATTCCAATAGCGTTTCTCTTCAGTCAACTTCATTTTAATAATGTTACTTCACATGCTTTTTTTTGCGGTGGCCATCTTGTTATGCGCAGTAAGAGATGCGCAGTGTAAAACCAGGGAATCACCTTAAGGGACACATGTAGCCCGTCCTAAGAAGGCCTCATAAGGTAAGTGCATTTCTTTCACCATCTTATGACAAGTACAAGCTTTTTCAAAGAAACTACTCATTCATTTATCTTTACTTTTAATTATAAGAATAACTTTACTTAATCGCTTGTATAAAATTGCCTCGGCTTACCAGGCCTCCATTTCTTTTCAACCAGGATTTAAGATTACAATCCATATATTTGACGACTGAATCCACAATTTTCTCCACTGCCATCTTGCCTAAACCTTGCTGGTGCTCACAGTAGGCGCCAAATGTGGCGCCAAAGGCCAAGAATGCTGCCACTCTTCCGACATCTTGCTTTTCCTTGAAGATTACATCTCCCATGTCATTGACTAAAAGCGGAAGCCTTTCAGGAGTCGAGACCCGAAAATTCATACCATACGTATCATCGGAAAATAAATTAGCATGTTCCGCAATGATACGATCAGCAGCAGCTGTGCTGAGGATCGCTTTGATTTTTTGACCACATTCTGCGGCTAGATCCTCCCCTAGGAACTTGATTACTGACGAGGCAAATTGTGGTGTGCAGCTAGCTTCTCCATCAATATATTTCTGAAGGCTGTGCGAAAATCGGCTTTGTAGTATTTTGTGGTGAGTGTAGCTGTTTACAAGTTCAAAAATATATGGATAATATTCAGTATGCAACATTATGTTTGGTTTTCCGGCGAATAAACGGAAAAATATACAACATCGGTTTCCTGACTTAACCTGTCCGCCATACTTCCTTCCTGCCTCGTTTCCAAATTGCTCGGCTCCAGGTCCCTGCCTGGTGCACAAATTTTATCACAGGTTACCCAAGCTCGGAAATGTAACCATTTGCGTTGCGTAACGTTCGAAATATAGGGAATTGCATGAGGAAAACAACCCGATTGTTTCTGTAACCTACGAATGTGAAGGGTTGAAATTAACACAAACTTAAGTAAGGTTAGGTTATTTTATTTAAATCCTTTCACATTCACGCCTCTTCTCACGCGAAACGTTCCCAGTTGCGGCTACATCCCAGGCACCTTTGCGATACTTGTGGGGCCCTGTGGTAAAGCTAGAATGAACGTTCATTCGGATATTCATGCAATGTTTCTCCGCGCGTGACTAAACAAGTAAGGGCAGTAAGGGCTGCACATAGACCCGAAGTAGTCAATCGATAAAAATCGGCATAGATAAAAATCGTTAGCAATCAAGCTTAAGGGTACACAATCGATATCAATCAAATGACATTCACCTATTTTTATCGATTTAATCAACGATAAATCGATACCGATTTATATCGTTTGACTACACCGAGACACAGACCATTCAAGGCCTTCAGGTAGTAGAGAAGGTGAGGTGAACGCAGGAGAAAAATAAATAAGTACAACTAATCGGTAGCCTGAGAAAACAGCCGACTTTTAGATACGCAAGCATTTCCCCGCCAAATGACGTCTGAGAAGCTAGCCTGGGTGGCAGGCGTTCGAAAGGGAAGGGTAAGGGGAGGGAAATTAGGGCGCGAGACCTTTTAACACCTGCCACGCAGGCTAGGCTAGGCTAGGGAAACGAGAAAACAATGACGTCCTTGCAGGCGTTCCTTTTCTTTCTCCCTCGCGCGCCCAAATTCCCCATTCCCCTTCGCTTCCCAGGCTACTGAGAAACGAGCGCAGAAATTCCATACTGATGACGCGTCAATAACCAGAACTGGGTAGTGTCTGGGTAGTGACGCGTCAACAGTATGGAATTTCTGCGCTCGTTTCTCAGACGTCATTTGGCGGGAAAACCAGTGGTAGCGTAGCTAAATGTCGACTGCTTTCTCAGGCTAAATAATCAGGGGTCCACTCCCCAATAACCCACGTTCGATATACAGGTACGCCCGGTTCCTTAAAGGCCTATTAGCGCTAATTCAGGATTAAAATTTTGTTACGTTTTTGTATTTAACCTTCCCATACGTTGCTTGGAGCAACATTTTGTGTTAATCATTACTGTATCTCGGAGTAAAGGCTGGACAGTATTTTGTTAGCTCGAGTTGCATGTTCTTAGACAAGAACACTTTGCTTAAAATTTGGCTTAATCCTGTGTTAAACTTAATCATCTTTAAAGGAACCGAGCTGTGATGTAGTAAAATTCTGACTCTGAGCTTTAGGGACACAATTGCAAATTTTTCACGACTCCGACATTGTTTCGCAATTCCCAGAAGAGACTTGAGCACAAAGAAAACCAAACCAAATATAGAAAAATGACCAAAAGCCTCGGAGTCATGTTAGAAGTTTGAAAACTATATCGAACGTGGGCTATTCGCGCCACTCCCTATACCAAACACCTTTAACGGCCTGTTTACATGGAGGTGGGTGACCCCAGGTACGTGACGTAACCCGCTTTGGTGGGTAACTCGCCTGTCCACATAATCTCTCATTTTAATTTGATTACGTTTACATGATAGGTGGGGTGACCTGTTGCATGTTACCTCACCTATCTGGGGTCTCCCACCTCCATGTAACCAGGCCCTAACAAACTAGGGCTGCAAAGGAGGATGCATCAGAAAACATATCAAGTCATTATTAAACATTCTTTTACTTGCAAATAAATGAACGTGTCGAATACAACTCTGTAAGAATTCAAAATATTCCCTCTTCAATAAATAGAGCTACGTACATAAACAACTATTATAACGTATCTTATTTTACAATATACAGTACAACTAAATCAACAGCGTCTTGCAAGTTTCAGGATCATTAACGCAAAACCAATTTTCAGTTCCGAAGGGTGAAACAATACGAACTCGCGAACAAACTAGAATTTGGGGCGCACTGACTTAATGAATGAGTTTAGTTTGGAATGAAGAATCACGGAGATGAAAACAATAAATAAACATATTGCTTGAAAAACGATTTCCACCTAATACCTTCTATTACCAACTAGCTAGTTCCTGTTCATTCTGTTTGCCTGGAAACAAAGCAGACCAACGATGCGTTCTTCTTTACTGTAAACGATAGTTAACTTTCTCCGCTCTAGAACCATTTTCGAATTTGCTCACTATCAGCCAAATTAGCTCTGGCAATAAAATCAGAATAACGAACCAAGATAAAACAGTTTTAAAATAACCACCAATTATCTCTGTCGCAATTTCGAAATAATCTTTTCAATTAGAACAAATTCTTTTCTCTTGACATCACATGCTTTTAGATCATAAAACAACTTTTTCTCCGTGTACAGAAGGTCAAAAAATATTCCATACACAGACGTTTGATTGAACTATCAATTCACGTTTTCTCGCCAGCGAGCTGCGTTTCTGCGGCGTCCACAACCAAGCAACAATTACGCCTTTACCCTCAAGAGAAAATCATGTCCCACTACTCCCTCTTGTTTATATACCATCGATTGCAATATGCGTTTTTTCTCATGACGGGGTTTCGTTCTTCCCTTGCTGCGCGTAACGGCGGGTACCGCAGAGCTGGGCCTTTTTTCTTCTTCATCGGTTCCAGCAATATTCGACCAACCTTTGGTGGCGTTAAACCTCCGAAACATCCGCGGATCTTCTGAATAACAGTAGAGCTTTTTCCACTCTGGTTTGTATTTTTGGAGATTCTAAATGTTTAACAGGCGCAGCTTCCACTATTGCATTGCATTTTTCGGTTACACAGTACTCGTTTTGTCGAACTCGCAAGCGACAAACTAAGATGATGTTTCCAATAAGAGACAGGAGAAGACAGGCCATTAAAGGAACAATAATGATCCAGTTCATCTCCGAAACTGTGGAAATATTAAAAAGATATGGAATTAAAAAGAGATGTTTTAATTGAGGAAGGCTTTTTGTAGAAGTTTACCGCACATACAAAAAAAAAGAAATCAGCCAAACCCTTCAAATTGTACCGCAATCTAGGTCGCAATTGTTGAAACTTTCTTCATCTCCGAGCCCTTTGTGCTTCAAAGTTGGGTGCGAGGACATTAATGAAAATCAAACCGATAAAAGCAATAGTGTAGGTGCATATTGATATGGCCACCAACCTCATTACCACCAAGGACAGCACCCACAGTCAAACCCTGTTAATACAGACACAGCTGAGGGCGTCGGTATTAAGCAGGTCATGTTATTAAAGTCGAAAAGACACCTCTTATTAGTACAAAATACTATAAAGGGAATAAAAAAGGACCTTAACATCGTCAAATGTAACATCTCTAACCTTCACAAAGCCGTTATTCCGCGGACTAAATCCACAGAAACACTCAAAAATCGCTCATCTATATATTTCTTAATCAAAACCGTTCTCTGCGTAACTTGAAGGATGCCAAAATAGCCACAATTTGAAGACTATCCGGTGTACTGTAGCGCTGGGAATATCGAAATGCTGTAAACAGAAGGATTTTTTTCCTTCAGAAAGGAAAGAACTGTTACAGCAAAGGATTTGATAATGAAGTGTCCGCATTAGCAAGGTTGACCTTCTATGAGAATCTGTTGACTGGGCAAGAAACAAGTGTCCGTTGTCCTCATTAATGGGTGTCCGTATTAAGCGGGTTGAATTAAGAGAAAATGTAAGGACTTTCTTTCCCCAGGGACAAGCAAAACACTGCATGCCTGCAATAACGAGGTGTCCGTATTAAGCGGGTTGAATTTACAGAAAATGTAAGGACTTTCTTTCCCCAGGGACAAGGAAAACACTGCATGCCTGCAATAACGAGGTGTCCGTATTAAGCGGGTTGAATTTAGAGAAAATGTAAGGACTTTCTTTCCCCAGGGACAAAGAAAAGTGTCCGTAATAATGAGGTGTCCGTATTAAGCGAGTGTCCATAACGCGGGGTTCGACTGTACTTGGCAATACAAATACGAGAGGGTGGACACAGTAATTTACATTGTGGCCCCAAGGGAGAATAACTCTACGGTGGAAAGGAAAATAACCCGAATCGGCTTTACCTGCACCTAGCACACGCTTATGTCCAGATGTGCCTTGATCGCCTGAACTAGCACGTGCCAGAACTGGTGGCGTCACTGTTTTTGTAGACGTCGAAGAAAATGAAGAAGAAATGGCGCTTGAACTAAATTTTCTTGTTGGTAAACTTGATGGCCTACCGACCTCCGCGAGAGGCGCGAGTAAAGTTGAGTTTGTGGTAAGAACAGTGGTGGATCCCGCATTTGTAGATAGGATCGCTGCTTGAATATCTGTGTCAGTACTTATAACTTTTGTTCTTGCTTTCGCTGACGTTGCATTTGTGACGCGTGGTTTTGTTGTTGTTGTTATTGTTGTTGTTGCTGTTGCTGTAGTTGTTGCTCTTGTCGCTGTCGTTGTTGTTTGCGGATTGCAACGGGGGTCTTGAGGAAAACAATAAAAAAATCAGAGAATTAACTAATTACTATATAAACAGTTTATTATCATTGAGTCATACCAATCTAACGACCGTCGACGGCTTTTTAAAGCGAGAGAGAAGAGAGCTACTGGCGCCCTGTATGCTGACGTCCCAGCATGTTAATGTGTAAAGAGGGCACGTCCTGTTGTCCTCTTGTCTCATCCACGACATTCGGCTTCGGCAAATAATTGATCTGCTCGCCAATGACAAATCACGATATTTCGCTCAACCTCGTCCAATTTATTTACGCTGACAACAAGCGGCAGAAGTTAGACTTACATGGACACTTTCTCAAATAGGAAGTAAAAAAAATAACGAAAATGTGCAAAATGACATTTGTGGATGAACCTATCGAAACCTGACATGCTGTGCAAATACAATGAATATTTAACAAAAAGCAGCGAACAATTTGCCATTTGCCGTAAACGTGATTCTAGATTTCTCTCTAATCGTGAATGACTTTTCCACGAAAGACAGAAGAGTTATTCGATCAACAACGGATATTACTAAAGTTAGGAAAGACGCAAGCCCGACAAATCACTCCACGAAGGACTGTTATTTTCTTGAAAATTGAATCCTTCTTTAGTCCAATTTGATTCGGAATCAACAAGCGGAAATACGAATGTTCACTAAGTTTACTGAATGCCTACACCGTCATACATTTTAAAATATTTCTAACCTTTCTTGTTGAGACACACAAATATTCGTAGTTTCATATTCCTATGTTGGCAATTTCCTCCTGAGGGTCTATCAAGTGATTCTTGAGAACCATCCGAGGTTGCTGAAATTTAATCAGATTAAAATCAATTTAAGCAATCTTACACAAAAAGGCAACTTCACATAACATACATCACATAATAACAAAACATTTTATTCCAGGCAAAAAACCAAAGGAAAGATTGCATTCACATTTTCCGCATCGCTCATTGCAAAATGTTGTTGAATGCTACAGTACTTGCCTAGTCCCTGTACGTCGTCTTCCTGGGCCTTCTAGGTCAATGCATTCGGATGACGTATCCGTGACCCAGCGAATCGCTCGGACCACGTGACCCGAAACGCATAAGCCCCGCGTAATAATCAGGACTAGCGACTAGGCAATGATAGCACTTGAATCTCATTAGAGAGCTTTAGATTCTGAGAGGAAGACGACTACGAGTACGAGATTTTCTCAATACTGTGTATAGCTCAAGCGTGAATCAGCGTCATTTTGGCGGGAAAACGTGATAGCCATCGTCATTCTACTACGACTTTTAGCGAGAATGTCGTAGTGGCATTTTGCCATCGGGAAAGGGCTTAACCTCGTTCAGTATAAATAACCATACTAACTGTTTTGGTGAAAAAAGTAGAATGAAGCTTTCCGGGGTGTCGTTTTTTAGAACGCGCACTAAAACTTTAAGCAAATCTGGTACTCGTTCCCGTCCTCAAATCTAAGCTCTCTATTTATCAATCAAATAGAACGCACCGGTGAGAGAACACAAGATGTCTTTTGATTTTGTGACCCCCCGTTGGGGTGTGGGGTGGGGCGAAGAGACAGCTGACATTTTAAGGTACGGTCAAACGGGCCGCAAATACATGCAACGAGAAGAAAACGATGTTGCTCCTCATTTTAACACCCACGTTCAAATCTGTCTTGCAACAAATCAGGCTGTTGCAGGTTGCGAAAAATTTTTGCAGAAAGTAGAGAGTAGTTCTACTTTTTGCAACAAAATGTTTACACGTTGCGCGTTCTACCCGCCCGAGGCAAACTTGTTTTGCAGCAAGTGACGTAAGTCCCGGCCTGGCGTGATTCCCGCGTACTTTTATCCAATCAGAAGTGAGTATTCACGCAACTTGCAGCAACCTGATTTGTTCATGCAAGACAGGTTTGAACGTGGGTGGCAAAACACGCAATATCGTTTTCCAACTAGTTTTGCAGCAATGCTTCAAAACAAGTTGCACATTTTTGTTGCCTGATTTACGGTAGCGTAAATTGTGTGCTACGCGACAGCACGTATCAAGAACTATGGACTAGCCTGCGTAGCAAGCGTTTCCAATCGAGTTACTGTGCGAAAGTTAGAGCGGGAGCAAAAAAAACAAAAAAGGAAACGCTTGCTACGCAGGCTAACTATGGACTAAATCAACATACCAATGAAGTAATACTCTTGCCCAGGAATGTAGCCAAAATCGTAAACAGCACTATATCTCTGAAACAATAATGTGAGGTACTTCAGTGACAAGGGAGTGTCGCATCGCAAAAGCAGTTTACTCCCTTGGCTCTTGTCAGTGCTACAGCGCTCATAGCTTTCGCGTGAGACGATCCATAGGTTCTGGTATTCCTTTTCAGTGCTGTCTACTTTCACTTTTTTCATAACAGTTGATGGATTTGGGCACACAACCTGAACTCTGGACAAAGGAAGTACGTAAAGAACGCTATCATTTCGATCAAACCTGAAAGGACAAGAAATTAAATAACTTCAGCAATGGATCAGTTCTGCTTGTCACAGGGCGAGAGTGACATAAATGACATATCGTAAAATTCCGAAAATAAGTCCCAGGGCTTTCGGAGGGGCTTATGTACGAAGGGCAATTATTTGGTACAAGTGATAGTAAGTTATTTGGAAAATAGAAAAATTTATATGTTACCGTACCGATTTTGCTTTGTTTTATCACTTTGTATTTGAGGGCAATTTCCAAGTGCAAGCCCCCGAGGGTTTATATTGGGAGGGGCGATTTAACGGAGGTTTTTTTGCGTTACGAGTTTGGGGGGCTTTTATTTGGAGGGGCTTATACATATACATGAAGGGCTTATTTTCGGAATTTTACGGTATAACTAAAACAAATAGGCTTTCAAACCGAAGTAACGTAATCAGCTTATCCGCAAAAAAACTGCTTTCCTTCCAGGGTTCGACTAATTGCTATGATTTAGTCGAGCAATATACATTGAAGCTATGTTCACATGGCACACCGGACGAATTATAATTCCGACAGGGTGTAGGTGTTCCGTTCACACACGGAATCACCTTAAGCGTACGAAATTTGAAAGCCAAAATTGAGGACATATTTTAAGCTGATACAGTCGAAAATTTGACCAAAGCAATGCGCGAACACCACGACCTTCTTAATTTTTCTACAGCAGGCGTGGTTGCATGGATGCGTGATAAGTCAGCTGGGAGGCGCCATGATTGGATTTGCGTAAATAACTAGCGCTCTGTGCATGGGCCGATAGTGAAGCCTCTAACAAAAGTTAAAATTCAACCTGTTCGAAAATATATAAATAATGAACAGTTCAGTGTGAACCAAGCAACTCGCCAAATTTTTCAGCCGATAGAAAATCCGTCCAGTGCCCTGTGAACGAAGCCTGAAATTTGCGTCAAGACAATTCAGCAGTGTAATAACATGCCTCGCTGGTCACACAAGAACCCAAAGTGCGCAGGGACTTAGGTCTAGGTCAAGGGCTTTTTAAAAGTGTGAAGCGTTTCTACAGGTCACGTCAGTACGCTACCAGACAATTTTAGACATATTTAAAGACTTGAACAAATGGGCAAATTAAATTAAGACAGACAAAACACTTTTCTCATAAAGACTACGCTTGGTATCATATCCGTATTTTAATTTTTAATTTTTAGTTCAACGTGATCCCAACTTCAGTCTGCAACAACACATTTAAATCTCTACAAACAAGATCTCTTGAGGGTCCTCTGACACTTTGTAATAAACAGGAAATCTGCCATGAACAAAGAATTGGCACGGGCGAAGCTTTGACTAACAATATTAATGGAAAAGCTAACAATACGACGAAGAAATCTTAAGTACTTTCGGAAACGAGTGGAAATAACTCTTAACCAAAGCCGACGAAAACATCAACCGACCAGGCATGCACGCACCGCTTTGGACACGCGATTTTTGACAATGAATAGACAAGCTTTAGGGCTTGTCTCAAGGTCGAAGGGACAGGGTTAAAGCATTGGAGAAAGCGAGAATAATTCCTGCCAAAAGAGTAAGGAAAAGCTGGAAAGTGAACATAATAACAATACAAAAATAACTTTGATTTTTTTACTTTACACCTGACTTAACTTTTTCGAACGGAAGGTAATGAATTCTGCCATTGTCAAATTAGTGCGACACTAAAAAAATAAAATATGGCGCTCACGGAAGTACTGTAATCAAATAAATAAACCATACAAGTCTGACAAAAAAAGAAAATAGTGGTACCAGACAAAGACTTTTTGAAGTCTTGTGTGAATTAACAGGGGCTAAAAGGGTCTTTGACGAAGCCCATATGGCCACGAAAGCCCCCCATTTCCGATTCGGTTGTAGTTCTAGTGGGGACAAGGATTAATTTTATGCCGTCTTGAATATGTGTGGTATAAAAAATCTGCGTTAAAGCAAATACTCCAAGCAGAGAACATCTGTGTTAAGCGAAAACCCTCTCTTTCTTATTGTCAATATCACTTCTCCTCACTCCCGCCTCTATCTGAGAAAAAGTAAAAAAAAACTTTTCAATGGCTCAATTAAAAAAGACACGATGCTTGTCTACTAAGACTGTGAGGGTCGGTTATTTACGGTTTAGTAAATCTTTGGACCTCCAGACCTCCTCGTTACTGGGTCATTTTAAGAAAATAGATGCTTTTCTAGAATACGCCATATGCTTTCATGAAACTGTTCACGATAAATGGCGTTTACATTAAAGCGTTCGGCAAACTGCAATGGCTTAGAAGAAGCAGTTTTGCTAAACACTGCAGGCTAAACTGGCCCTGAATCTTCATCGCTCTTGGCCTAGAAAGGGCGCAGTAGATTAAATGTCCGTTGCGGGTTTTTTTAGTCGTTGCTTAGTAGACACAACTCCACCTTCTTTAAACTTTTTATTTACGCATCGCACTGTTATGCTTGCGGTGAAAAAATACCACGCAAAACACCACTGAACAATTCCATGCATGTTTGTTCCATAAACAGATTTAATGAAATTTGTATTGCAAAATTAATCAAGATTAGAGGAACTTTGATGCATTCTATACTTATGTCGACAAGTTATTAAGCCTGTCGAAGTTTGTGTAAAATAAAGGCACCGGGTGATATGACTCGATAAAAAGTATGGCTGAGAATATCTTCCAGTAATATGGATGCTTATGGTTGAAAACCTCGGCTATCACGTGAGGTAAGAAGAGGCAGCGCCAGTGTTCTCCTTAGTTCTCTTCCGTCTGCAATATCAAATCCCCCTTTGTTAAACTAACTATTAAACCATATGTGCCAGTCTGCGAGAGTGTTTTTTACAAATTTACAGACAAAATTATGTAGGTGTGTATTAATTACTGTATCGTTTCGTTGACGATTTGTCTAACTCCGCATGAGTTCGAACGCGTCGAAACAACAGTCCTGGGGGTACGTTTTCAAACTCACGCATGGATTTTGGGGCGTGATTGAAGTTGTTAATATGTAAACTACTTCCGTATGGCGGTCTTGTTGTTTTTCTGAAGGAATTTAAATGGACCTTCTTGATAGGCAAATTACTGAAAGCAATGTTTTTCGTTTGAAATATGCCAAAACGTTACTGACATTGTGACAAGTTAATTTACATCCGCTTGTAGCTTTGAAAACGTAACAAGGAATTGCTTCTGCATTGCTTCTGTCGGAGGCAAATTAAAAAAGCACTTGTCGCCGCGTATAAAAGGAGGAAACTGCTGTAAATCAGTCCTTATAAAATCAAATTATCTTTTGCGTCTCCTAATGAGTTAAAGACGTAAGCAAAAAGCTGTGATGTTCCAATGTTTCAAATGACTTCACTATCGTATATCAATGATTTTCAGGGTCCTTTTATTGCCTATGACGTTGGACTTACCTACGTTTGAATTTCATGTCCAAACAACCGCGAATCAACTTCTACTGGAAGCTTCTACCGGAATAGACGCCTTTAAGGAAGGAATTGTGTGGTTCTTATAACAATATTACTTTTCAGCTTCCAGAAAAAGAAAAGAGCGGATCTCCAATATTTTTCTTTTGACATTATCGCCTTCGGAATCACAAAAAAGTCAGTCAACACAGCATCTTTTATAACTTGTGATTTGCCGCTAGTCGAATATTAATAAGATATTCCTTTGTAATAAAAACAAACTTTATTGGATTTTATTATCTTGATGATATTACTTCATGAAAGCGTAAGTATGTTTTTCTTCACGTCCTGATATTACTTTATGTATAAAAAGTAAGTCTGTTCTGCCTACGAGGATTGAAGAAATATAACAAAAAACATCAGATAACTAAAAGAGAACTACTACAACTGTGCTATAACGTAACGACATTGTTAACTCTTGGTATTTCACTTTTTATCCTGAACATGTGGTTAAACTGAAGACTCAACCGTTCCAAACAAAATAATCGTACTTGGAATTTCTCACAATGCATGGGGCCGGATCAATCAAAGATTTGTGAAATTATTCAGACACCTGATTTACAACAGATGGCTTTTCCGTACGTTCCAAAAATAGCATTTATTAGCCTATAGTTTGAATACAACGTGGAAATTGGGACACACACGTTAATTGACAAACGATGGATATGTCCTTGAACAGCTAATAAACACCTATCCTTATCTTCAAATACTGATTTTCTGATTTTATCTCAGAGCTGTAGCTGGAGCGTACACGCAAGTTTCTTTGACATGTTTTATTTTCATACAAGCTTAGCCTGACCATTGCATGACAGTTTATCGTGGCAAAAATGTATGGTATTCGTTTCGTCTTTCATAAAATAGGAAAAAAGCTCACCTAGTGTATTTTTCTTAACTGAAATCGCCACTAAGAACAAATTTTGAGGCCGTTTAAATTTGTAGGCGATGTGGTTGCTGTAGTGTACAGGTTTCATTTTAAACAAAATCACACCGAAAAATGATAAGTATGATTACTGGTTTAGGGCAATAAATCTGTCAAATCTCTACATAGCTGTTTTCGCTTGCAATCTGCAAAGTCAGGCAAAGTTAAAGACGGTGAAAGGCCAATGTCAGGTCCTGCGCATTCCAGCAACTATTAAACAAGCCAGTAACGCAATTTATGAAAGGATTATAGCAGAAATTCATTAAAACTACCACGTTTACAACGGAAAGACACCTAAAGAAATGTAATTCCTGCCCTTACAACTATTTTAACACCCAGAGGTCTATTAAATCCGGAGGTCTTAATACATTGCAATGAAACACGCCGTCTTTTAGCTTGCTCGGCAGGCTAGCTATATCATTTCATTCAGTTCATCTAGTTTGTATATACTGCCATTTTCATCTTCTTCGTATTAATGTGTTTCGTGAAGATATTTTTATGATTTAAAGCTCTGCATGCAAGAGGCTAGTGCCAGATGACCTCACGTCTTTTTCATCTTGGACAGCACATCTAACACCTTTTCAGACACAGGCCAGGACAAATCCGACAAGCCAGTTAAAATCTCCGGAAAGTAATTTTCTTGACCGTGATGACGGACAAGGGTGGCCTTTGCAACAACTCAATCAACTTTTCTAAGGTATTGGACTCATTTCAGAACGCTCTAATGAAATGAAAGATATCGCTAGTCGCCTGAATTGCCAACTGACAACAATTATATCTCCAAAAGGACCAAAAGTACTAAAAAAGCCAAAGAGAATTCAATTAACAAAATAACACCGCAAATAGAATGGAGAGGAAACGATTAACACTAAAGGTGTTATCCGCTGATTAGTTGCTCTCAAGTAGAACACAAGCCGTCTTGCATGGCGAATATTCGCTTGCCAATGCAGATGAAGTATAAGTTGTACTACTGGACAGTCAACAGCGGCTGACTTGTGTTATCTCCTCTCTCACAAACGAAAATAAGCTGTTAATATCTGAGCGGTGATATCATTTCATCACTTGGCAAATAAAGGGCCCACTCTGTCTTTAAGAATTAATTACAAAAATCTATATCAGAGGGTATCAAAAAAGCTCGTGACATAGAATATTCAATATTTTAAGCATTTTTTTCAGCTATAACATTTCAAAGGCTGCGCTTTTCAAGTGCTGCTTTCAACATTGGTTAACTTTGGCCCCCAGGAGCTGGGTTAAAACGTCAAAATAGTTTCACATACTGTTTTCACATGTTTTTGTAAATTTACATTGCACATCATCCGATTCCTTTCTCTCATTTCGTCGCATTATCAAAATGTTATTCTTAGAAACGACAGAATCAACCCAGACGGAAAAACAAATAAGGATTTCAAATTCCAAGAGTTGGCCTACTTAATTTTTGTGCAAACAGGATTATCCTACAAAATTGCCATGAACCGGGGTCATAAGTTTCGCTTTTGTCTGAGGTTGAAGGCACAAAACTGTTTTGATTCAACGCTACATGGATCTTAGCTTATCAGAAAGGTGTATTGTTTTCGATAAAACTTAATTTACGTTGGGTCACCCAAAACAATTCACGGGTCATTTACTGTTGTTAGCTCAGGAAGAGCCTACCGCAAACGAAGTAATCAAATCAAGCGGTTACAGGATATTGAGGGAAGGGTATAAATTAAGCAAACACATAGACAAATAAAGAAATCGTTTTGTTACTAGTGTTACGAAATACCGCAAAAGCCTCTCGAACGGCAGAAATCTGGTGGCAAAACGAGTGCTCACATTTCGCGTTAGACAAACAGTTAGTTTTCTAAAGAGTTTTCGCTTGGAAATTCTCTGTGTAACTAAGGTAACAACGCTTATCCCAATGGCATTCTCTAATTAAATTTATCAGAAAATTCAATACAAATGGCCAATTCTGAAGTACTTTCTTTTAGTTGTGTACACATTCATTATTACGAATGTGGTCTTTCATTACAACTTGTTGTTCTTGTAGCTTTCCAGTGGCCGGATATTTTTACTTGCTTAGGCTACACACACGAAGTTGCGAGAGTTATCAGTTGTTGGGTTATTGAACATGCCAAGCTAATATAGAAAAAGTCATAAAAGATAAAAGGTTTCCGCACAGACTTCGTTTTACTTCTGACATTGTTTTGCACTAGTGGTTTTCGAAGCAAACCCAACAGGACTATGTAAACAACGCGACATGAAGCAACAAAACAAAGCTACAAACGCCAGAAGCGAACGAATATAACTCAAAGCTGTTTCGCAAGTAAAAAGGCTTTTCATTGCACAAATATGCATAATGAAAGAGAGCGTTCAAAGCTACATGATATTGTCTTTTTTAGTTGAAAAGGAAACTGTCTTCTCTCTTCAGCGAGTAAATAGACCGATGCATGGCTGTAGTTCTCCACAACGTACTGCACTTTATGGTTGTGGCCACAAATCCTTATCAGTAACTTGTGACACATTATTAAAGGTAACAAAACCGCGAATAAGTTTAGGGAGTAATAACTTTCTTCCAGCTCGATTGAACTGATAACAGTGCGCGATTTGTATTCACTGTAAAGGCTCCACTAAACACATAATTAGTAAGCAAGACAATAGGAAATTTAGCAATTTCAATAGGGAATACAATCAAGCGATGTCATTTAATAGCTTAGAGCCGCAAGAATCTAAGTAGAGAGGTTTCAAAAGTATGAGAAAACGGATTGTCCGAGATACTGGAGAGTCAACCAAAGAACTGACTGAAAATACTCGCGAAGTTTGATTTGCGTAATCTTATTAAACCATTACCCATGTAAATGAGCTATAGATTGAAAATGATGACTTACAGTGGATTCTGAGGAGTCCAGTAAATTGATGGATGATATAAAGCACACTCCACGACGTGGAAAAACAAGATAACTTGCGCCACAATCAGGAGAATATGTCGCATCTTGAACACCGCGCCGCCAGCCATGTGCATTGAGATAGCTCTGCCTCGTAAAAACCGCGCGACGGGTTTTCCCTATTCAATTCCGTTTCACAATAGTTGGAGAGACGAATGTTTCACAGCTTCCTCCACTACAACCGTAGCATACCGGAAAGGCTTTGATTCGTCTAATCCTCTCGCTACAAATAGCCGTGTTTTCATGGAGAAATATTAGACTGCCACTCTTGCCACTCCAATATGGTACCCGTGCTGAAGGCTCGTGACAGTCGCTGACAACCCTTTCGTCTTGTTTTGGAACGTGCCCGCGAGCAATGACGGCGCGTGAACTTGTCACCTGACAATCCAAAGCAATCCGTATCAAAATTTCCCGACTGCAAATGTACTTTGTAAAGTTAATCCGTTTTTGTTCTTTTCCGCACGGTGTGTTTGTCTCGATTTCTGGTTGTACGCCAACTGCACTTGACAATTCAACCCTTGAAACTCAAAACTTCATTGAGAGGCGTTGAAAACTCTTGGTATTGATTAACGATTCTTCTTACTGTTCTTCAGCCCTCCCCCACTGTAATTTTCTCAAATAATCCTCTCCCCTCCCCTCACCCTTTTTTATTGTTTCACCCCATATCAATCACATGGGATAACACTTTCCGAAATCATACTAAAGCACAAATACGCAACACGTTTCTTCCGTTACCTTTAAAAATATCAGATGAGCTTTTTTCTAGCCACCGGGACTTGCAAATTATTTCCCGTTTGGTGAATACTCGGACAACATGTTTTGATTTTCATTTTACGCCCCCTGCTGAAAACAGCATTACTATCCACAAAGAATAGCAAATAAATCTGTCAGTCTTTCAATAATTGCGGAAACTGAATAAGAAATATTATTCAGTGATCAAAACAGAAAGGAGCTATTACCCAACAATACTTTTTCTGGGATAAAATAAGTAACAGAGTAAGGATGACTGATAGGTAGTAAAAGTACTGATACTTCCTTTTAATTTCTTTATGAGTAAAGAAGTATGCTAATTCTATAAAATGGTAACCAATGTTTTAGTGTTTAACATTTAAAAACATTGTGGTTAAGCGTTGACAGGCTCTCAACCAACAAGCAAAACAAAATGTATCAGACTTGCGGGAATAAGATTTAATAAAAGTAGAACTTGTTTGCAGTAAAAAGGGGAGAAAGTAGACGTAGGTCTTTTTCGTAATAACTGCCCCTTGCATCGGTCTGAAAGGTTAGGGCAAGCTTTTATTCTAAAGCAACGAAGGGTAAAAGAAAAGAAAATTTCATAAATATGTTTGAGTCGATCTCTGCATGTCTCTCTAATCCCGCTGTGATATCTATTAGTTTATTAAGACGGCGTGGCTTTAACAGAGTCTCTAAATTTGTTGATCGATAAGCCGTCATGCAACTTGAACAGAGTCACGCGATGTTCTGGCAGCTTCGCATAAGAGTTGACAAATGACTTTATGATTAGGTTTAACACAAAGTTATTAACAGCATTATTGTGGGAAGGTAATTACAACCCGATTCCATCGAGAGAGAAAGTGAAGTTATCATAAAAATTACATTTTCCTGAACAAATATTTTACTTTATGCTATTTTTAAACAAGAGCTGAGAAAGTACTTTAATTAGTGCAAAAGAAGGCTTAAGGGTCTCAAACAGAAATCAGATGTTTTGGTGTTCAGCTCGAGTAATTCCGTATCATTAATTTTACGATGCGCTTTACATGCAAGTCGTCATTTATTTTCATAAAACTGGCTTTAAAAAGACCTCATTCTCTCCGGAGAAGGATGCAAACGGTTCCTCTTACTGGCCACTTTTGCTTTTACAAGCACTTACCATGCATTTCATTGAAACTGGATTTGCATGAAATTCTGGGCTGGCTTTTTATAAAAAATTTTCCTTTAAATTAATACTCTTCAGTATTAATGCTTTTTCCTTAAATAGTCGGTTTTAGCGCTCGGAAGTACAGTTATATCCTTCGGACAACCAACAAAAATGTCAAGATTTTAGCAGCACCACTGAAGTATTTCACTTGAGAACTCCCTCTTTGGAATGGGTACTACCTCTCGGCGCAATGATTTCTGGGATCATTTGGCTAGACATGCGTTTCCCGGGTTATGGGCTCCTGGCGTTTCTTAATTTTGATTGGTTAATGGTTGCCTTGCATGAGTGCCATCGACCAATCATAATTACTGTACTCAAATTCGTCCCTAATGGGCTAATCATTACTAGCCTGCGTCGCAGACACTCTAAACCGCCTGTCACGAGTGTCACCAAATGCAACGATCTAGATGATACCTGGGTCGGCTGCAACGCAGGGTAGTCATTACAGGTACAGTAATCAAGAGAGGCTCTTGAGGAGCTACTTAGTGCTAGGGTAAATAAACAGCGAAAGAATATTACAGTCCATTTCCGTCATTTCAGAAACCCCCACCCTAGAGACCGTGACTATATAAGGTCATGTTCACGTTACACCGAGAGCTCTTGTGTCGAAACGAAAACCATACAGTATTGGGTGGGTTTCCATAAGAACGGTGGTTTCGGCTGGACTTTTGTAACGGGGCAAAGCTGTGCTGCGCCGATCTCGAAACTGAAGCGTCACATATCGGATAGGCTCTGTGGCGCACTTTGGGGCAATGTGAATTTCGGCCAATCGTCCCGGCACGATTGATGTTTGTGAACGACTTGTTCTAGTACCTGACCGTTGCTGTTCATACTGAGTACCAGATAGCTTTTCGAGTCGACACTAAAAGCTATTGGGTATAGTGTACGCATAGCTTTAGCGTCAGTAATAGCGGGGTGCGAGAAGAACTTCATTAGAAAACCTGGCCATAAAAGGCGGAGGAAATATATTTCAGTTGTCTTAACCTTAAAAGATGCCGCTGGAGCCGCTGGATGTCGGTCAGAACTACAGTGGAGCGATAAAATTGTGGTGTCGAAACCGAAGAAGGTGACCGCAAGTCAGCAATAGCGGGACTCAGTTAAACGTCTGAAATATAATTTTTGCTGGAGAAGTAGATGCTGTGTCCGTGTGATAGCGAGGCTTTACAAGGAGAGTGTTGACTGTACTAAAGGAGATAGCATAGATCAAGACAGGTGAGATTGATATGGCGACTATATATTAAACGATGGCCCGATTCAAGACATTCAGTTAATGTTGCAAAGTGTAACTGATATTGCCACCAGGCTATTTATAAACAGTGCCACGTACACGGATATTTACCGACTGGTATCTACCTCCAAAACGTGAAAGATATTGCGTAACGATTTGGCATTACCAACAACTGAGTGTGCCGGAACATTATCAGAGATGAGATTGTTACAAAGTGCAATTGATAAGACAGTAAAAAGATTTTGCGACGCGATTATCGTAAAGTGCAAAAAGTGTCGCAAAGTGCGGCCGTTAGAAACGGTGGCACGAGTAACAATACTCACAGGTTCTGTTGGAGGTTCTGCTTGGGGTTATCAATCCCTGCCTCACCTCCACTCCCCAAGAGCTTGTTCGATGGCTAATAAAAAAACGAAACTAAGCCTCGATAGCAGTCCTTTTTGCTACATTTTTGGGAGTTAGTTTCTGTTCTTAATTCATTGCCTAAGGTTGTGTTCCTCCCGAAGACAAGAAGTTTTTAGAAAATCTAAATCGAAAAATCTTCACTATAGCAGTGAAGTAATAGAATGCATATTTATAATATACTTTAGCCAGGGCTAAAAGCGAAACTCACGTTTCTATACTTAGAATTTTCTCACACAAAAATAAAATCATGTAATGCTTAACGCGAAGGCAACGAGAACATCAAAAATGAAACAAAATGAAAACAAAAAAATCAGTTTAATTAGCATTAAAAACAACTTTGCACGTGTAGCACACTTTTTTGTACATTTCTTTGCCGTTGTTGTTGCATAACTACAACGTGGAACTATCTACAGTGTAGTTACACGTTTTATGGAGGAAATGTCGCATTTTCTCTCAAAAAGATATTGTTGTCTGTGTTCCTGTTCGCTTTATTTTTCACTGCCGCGCATTTTCACCGTACTGGTCGCTAACATTTCTCATTTTCTCACCACCGTTTTAAAATTTTCATGTTTTGTGAAGTTCTTCTCCGCTTTGCTTTTTTTTTGATCTCTTGCTCTAGCTCTTTCTCTCTTTTATTCATGTCAGCGTAGACACAAAAATTTAGTCGCGAAAAAGGCTTTAATTTGTTGCTGTTCGGGCGGCCAAGACGACCATGATATGGACGTCTATCATTAAGTTAAACACAGGTTGCAGGCTCCACACAATGTAAAAAAGTGTGGTGCGGACAGACGGGCGGGCGGACGTACGGTCACCTTACCACCAAAATTTCTCGCCGCTAACCAAATTTTCTTACCCATGTTGCTCCGCTGCGCGCTCCGCTATTAGTTTTTTCCTTTTTTTTGTCTCGCGGTCCCCAGGGCTTTTTCTTTTGCAGTAAAACATTTCAAGGTCGCGTTAGGAATAAACAGGTATAAAATATGGGACGCTTAATTAACATTTTAAAAACTTATTGCGTTCGACGAAGGAGAACGCTTACTATTTGTGTACGTACATGAAGTAGTAACCGTTCAGCATGCCATGCGATTTCACGGTTTGGACGCCATCTTGGACCGGCCAGGCAGATTTTGCCTCGATCTCATGTGTTCAGTTTTTCTCACCCGGGAGCTGGTATCTATTTTGTGACACTCGTTCACAGACTGGGGAAACGTTGGCGATTTTTCTTGATCCCAATTTTTAGCCAGTTTTATTGACCATCCTAGAGTGCAAAGGAATATCCTGAGGATCATAGTCAGTGTTTGACCTGTTGTTACTTAGATGTACTTTACTTAGAGGTTTAGTCAAGTAAATGTAAAAAGTACAGTACGCTCTTGCATTTTTGAGGAAAAATGAAATAGTAACGAATTGTTAAGTGGGAGGATAAACAATAACACTGATAAAGACAGCTACTGATATTCGTATTGATAAAAGCGTTTGATTTTGATTTCTCAATATTACAGGCCCATCAGGTTTTGCACCCCTTTCCAACTACCACTCACTATCCACCACCCCACCCTCCCCCCTCTCCATCGAACGCACTCCCCTAATTTGCAATTATTACTAGTTAGGGTAACCATATATTTGACCCGGATTTGGAATCGTAATCATATGCATATAGCCTGCGCATGCGTGCATACGGCTCCTATTTCCTTTTGTCACTTTTCCGCGTCCCGCGTGCAGAAAGGAAATCACGGGAGACGTCATGCAGGCTGTGTGCGAAGCCGTAGGGCTTAGCGATCTAGTGGAAACAACGTTCTGATTCCGCTCACGTCTCTGCTGCTTCATGAATGTGTTGAGAACTTTGTCGGAGTCACAATTAGCGAAGAACTAACTCAATCTAAAAAGCGTGGAAAAGGGCCTAACCTTGTGGTTAGTGTATTCTTCCGTTTCTGGTTCCGACTCGGACAATTTGGTCGTCACTAGATTCGCCACTTGCACATCTCCCATAATGTACCTTATTTACCCACTAAAATTTTGCAAAGCCTTTGTTTTTTATTTCTCCTGGGTATTGCAGCCGTCCCAAGAGGAATTCAAAACAATATGCTTATACAAAATTTTGGGGGACAAATGAGGTGCATCCTGAGAGGTGTGCGAGTGGCGAATTGTCGGAGTGGGAATTGAAAATGGAAGAAATGGTTGTGCTTATGACTCGTCTTAAGTGGTTAGTAAGGCTAGCTAATTTTGTATTCATATTGCAACTTTGAAATGCGCAGATGCCGTTTGTGGAATCGCCAAGAATCAAATTTGGCGAACGTACAGGCCAACCACTCCTTGAAGAGTGCGCTTGCTCATCCCAAATGGAAGTCAGTCTGTGGCCTTGAATCTACTCCAAAAATAGACAAAACACTCCCTGACAACATTTTTATGTACTAGTGCGATTTTATTGACCATTCTTTTACAGAATAATGAGTTACAACTTTCGTTTGAAACATGGTGTAATACTGTAACCTCAACTGAGCTTGGATCTGAATTCAGGAGGCGCACACTGCATTTAATAATAATAGATTTAGCCAGGGCTAAAAGTGCAGCTCTCGATAATATTTACAGTTTGTTCAAACAAAATATAAAATCGTGTAATGCAAAGGCAACGCCGGAGAACGGTGAAAAACAACAATAGGTCTAATTAGCAAAAAAGCAACTTTACACGCGCAACACACTTTTTTTGTACATTTCTTTGCCGTTGTTCTGCACGACTACAACGTGAAACTTCCAGAAACGTCTTAGTTACACGTTTTATTGAAGAAATGTCGTACGTTTTCTCGTTCACTATTTTTCCACTGCCGCTGATTTTCATCTTGCATTGGTGGCCGCTAGCATTTCTCATTTTGTCACTGCCGTTACAAAATTTTCATGTTGTTCTTCCACCAAAAAAATTGCTCCTTTGTTTTTTCTCTCTCGCTCTAAATCTCTGTCGCCCTTTGTCTCGTTGAGAAAATTTGTGGACATGACAATTAATCTAAGCTTAATACTTTAGAAAACACGAATACAGAGACAATTTCACTTCTCATTTTCCTCTTCATTGACTCTTTCGTTGTCTCTGCTTTACAAGACGCCGGTGGCTATGCGATTTGCCGTCAAAATAACCTCGAGTTGCATTTGGGTTGCCATGCCTGATGACTGAGTTATTTTACATTAGTATGCCTGTGGTACGGACGGACGGTCGGGCGGTCGGTCGGTGACGGTCACGTGATTACCAAATTTTCTTGGATGGGTAGTTTACGACATTTTCTTAGCTATAGTGCTCCGCTATATATTAATAACAACATATATTCTCTGTTTAAAAAACCACCAAAGGAATCGAAAACGCCGATTTCTTTTTTGCTACATCTTAAAAACCGATTGCATCTACATGTGTATGATGAACTGTCGCAAGGTTATAATGGGTGGATTTCTAACCCACTCAAGATCAATATAAATTAAGTTTTAGTTATCTCTTTATGTGTAAATCATGGCATATTTGTAGTACTTTATAAATTGGCGCGTATGTAAAAAGCAAAATATATAAATTCTGGTTACCATCAGCACCAGTGGCAGAATCATCACCACTCCAACACGATTTACTTTTTGTTTAATCGATTGGTTCGTCGCTCACACCTCTTTCCGCAAAGCTTTTGGTCGGCTTGGATAGTGGTAGGTTGTCCAAAGCAGAACCTTTCCATACAAACTCGCCACACCTATGCCAGGGCCATTTTCCTTCAGTTTGATTTACATTTATATGTAAAGATATCGTATTTTCCGAACACACTTTAAACGCCGGTGGGCGTGTCGTGACTTGACAGCGGTTGGCGTGACTTGTGCATTCTGTTCCGACTTAACCGATAGATCAAAATAACAGAAACGATGATAAGAAGAACGCACAGGAACACAAGAACACCAATGGCTATAAAGTACGTAGTTTCCTTAAAGGATCTCTTTCTTTCACGTCCGGGATTGGCTGCAACTGAAAAGAATGTTGCGTTTTTCAGTATTTGGAAATAGAAAAGTTTTTCGACTGCCTCATCTACTTATACTTTGTCCTTGGCGACCAACGTAAGTTCCCGCCAGTAATTAACTTTACTTTAAAATGAAAATGATTTGAGGAGGAGGAGGAGGAGGAGGAGGAGGAGGAGGAGGAGGAGGAGGAGGTTGTTAACTTCTTATATATGTAATTAATTGTGCTTTTATGATGACTATTGTGTGTTTGTCTAACATGGTCACGTAGTTTATGTCACTTAAGATATATAATTGGAAGTAAGAAAAAGTAGGAGAGAAGGGGGGCAGGAGAAAGGGGGGGGGGAGGAGGAGGAGGAGGAGGAGGAGGAGTAGTAGTAGTAGTAGTAGTAGTAGTAGTACTATTAGTAACAGTGGTACAAATAATGGAATTGTAAAGAAGTTTACTAGTATATCTTATGCTACAGCGTCATAGAGAACACGTCAAAAGAATGCGTACTAAGCTCGAGGATTTAGGCATTGAATATTATTTCGTGCGAGTAACATTCAGGCTTTTTCAGTTACCTGTAGTTTTTATCCGCGAGGTGGGAACTATGTACGCTGTGGATGAAGTGTTTTTTACCACGTTAGTGGTAGCGGGAGTGGTTTGTGTCGATTTCGTTGTTGCCTTCGCAGTGCTAGCAGTTGTTGGAGCATGTGTAGGAACTATACCATTGCACAGATCATCGCTTTGGCACCGTGGATCTAAAGTGGAACCGAAAGAGATTGCTTGATAGCGGAAAGAACAAATTAAGCTATGGTCGCTCGCAGTCACAAAGCAGACAATTCAATTTAAAAGTTACCAGTAGTAGTTTTACACACATAGGATCCAATATTGAGACTCTCCTTTGCACTGTCTCCACGGTTAATATAAAAAATAGCCCAATCTCGAAGCAGCTACATGTGTATGTGGCGGGGTAACGATCACAGAACAAAAGACCCTTCCACGGTTTTTTTTCATCTTTTTACCGCGACCAGTTAGCAAAAATCCTTTAACACCGCTGGGAAAAATAATCAGTAAGGAGGCTCATTTTTAGAGGGATTTGTTGAAAACTAAGGAAGATCTCGATCAGCAAAGCTGCGAAACTTTACAAAACGTTTGTATGGTGGGGAGCACGAACTCGCCCCCACACCATACAAACGTCTGTAAAATTTGGCGACTTTGTGGAGCAGCAATAGCTTCGCGCACTTTAATAGACGTATCACCTTTAAACTTGGCAAATTTACTTTTTGTAAGGCGCTGAAACCTCCCAGCGGTGTCGATGGATATTCACCAACTGTCCTTTATTAAAACTTGACAAAAGCGTCGGAAAGGTCTATTGCCTAATTGTGGCTTTATCTTTTAGTAGCGGCGTTATATAGTTTGTATCTTTCATTTTTACTTGCACCTGTTCATAAACCAGGGAATTCCTTCAACCGTTCATTCTTTAGCTCATTCATTCTTGTTGAGAAATAAAAAACGACCCCAAGCCAGCAGCCACTTTTGCTTCCGGGAAGTTCTGTACTAACCTGTATTGTTTGTACAAACATAGAACTTAAGCTTCATCGTATGTGAGCTGCAACGCCCTCCGGAAGTTTTGTCCAAGGACGATCTTGTACCATCTGAAGTCGCTAAAAACGTAGCATAGAGGACTTAGTTGGCCCCAAATTAGAAAGAAGTGGACAAGGAACAGGCCAGAAAACTTGGTCAGCCCCACCAAAATTCGTCTCCAAGGCTAATAGGAGGGACCGTAAAGGGGGATAGGGGGCAAGCTCAAGGCGCGGATGATCAGAATTTGCTATATTACCTTGATTCCAAACCAGACAAAAACCAGATTGACTTATCTAGCTCTGGTATCATGAGTGCAGAAAAGCCAGCAATTAATTTTCTATTTTCCCTATAAGTGGGAACTTTTACACTGGATATCTGAGGTCGAACAAGCAAGTATTTGAACTGACTTTAAGGATGGAAGATTTTCAGCATTTTCCGGGAATGTCAAGAAGTCACGTGACCAGTGCCTTGCCGTCAGGTTTGCGGTTTGAGGTTCACGTTTACCGCAAGGTTTTTAGCACCCTAAAACATCACATACTACTTTTAAGAGCTCTTTTGCTCATTAAATAACGATTTCTCTTTTTTTATAGAAACGTACGTAATTTCGAAAACGATTTCTCACAGCCTGCCAAAATCGACCTTAAGGGCTCTAACAACAAACTTCTTAGGCCTTAAATGACCGTAAACTTTGATTAAATTATGAAAATTAATAGGGGAGTGATTGCGGTCACCATTCTTACTTACTATGTAATCTTACCAATAAAATAGTACTCCTTTCCTGGTTCAAACACTGGAGCACTCATGACTGCACTGTATCTCTTAAATATGACTTCATAATAGAGCAAGTTCAATGGATTATTGCAATCTATTAGCTTCTTGTCGATCGATTTGTTCACCTCACAACCTTCAAAGCCTTGTTTGCCAACCAACCACAGATTCTCGTATTGCGGACTTGATTGACTGGTTTTTAGTCTGGTTAGGATGGTAACAGTATTTGGACAAATGAAGAATACTCTGGACAACGGATTAACACAATGTGTTCTGTTTATCGTAAATCTGAAAGAAAAATAGAATATAAGCAGTAAATCCTAGTCTGCGTAGAAAACGTTTCCGATCGAGCTATTGCGCGGAAGTTAGAGCGAGAGCAAAAACAAAAATTCAAAAAAGAGGGGCGGGAGGGAAGGGAAGTGAAAACACTTGCCTCTTCCACTTCAAACCTCTTTTTGCTCCTTTTCCAAGTTTCCCAACGAACTTGCGCGGAAACGCTTGCTATGCAAGCTAAATAAATCCGGGAATTAAGATTCATGTGTACCGAAGGAATACGAGGCCAAGAGTATTTAATAAAAAATTAAGAAAATTCTCCATATTTATATTTTCATATTTATCTTTTTCACCATCTCGTATGATTTGTTACCCTTGGTGCCAGAGGCTTTTCATGTGCGGTTTCCTGTTTCGGTTACCCGCGGCTTTTTGTGGCGGTTTCGGCCTTCGGCTTATTTGTGTTTCCTTATTCAAAAAAGGGATAGATCCTAGGTCGTCTTATTAGTCCCTAACAGAGCCCACATTCCTTAATTCTTAGTTTTTGCAGACAGGCTTAGAAGAAAGCAGTTTCTAGTTACACCACTGCCAACATAGCCAGATCGGATATGAATCGCACTGCATACCATAGAGTTTAGAGGACTTAGAAACAGGCTTTATTCCAAGTAGTATTCTCAAGTTATTTTAAGTAACAAATTGGCGGGAAATTTAAACCTCAAAGAGTTATCTCTTTCTGGTGGATATATTGGCTCAGGACTGTTTATAGTCCCCTATTATTTTTTGTAAGATCTTCAAGATCGAAGACTTAGCGTTGCGGGCGGCCATCTTTGTTGAATTTCAAATTTACCGGCCCTCGGTATATATGGAACCAAGATGGCCGCCCGTACCGGTAAGCGCTCGATGCTGACAATCTTACGAAACAATAAGGCACTGTGAACAGTCTAATTAATAGACCCCAACCACGTGACATGGCGGACAAATTGGTTGAGAAAACAATATTCATCATTTTTATTCAAGGAATTTGCATCAAAAAAGAGTGTACTTCCACAAGGCTTTTTTTCTCTTGGAATCTAGGAGGGGCGGGAAAAGGCCCTTACCATTTTCCGCTCCTCCAAGATTTAAAGGGAAATCCTGTCATTCGGTAGCCTGCGTGCGCAGAGGTTTCTCTCTTGCATGGCTTTTAGCATTGACGAAATCGTTCTCGCGTAGTGTTTTGCAATTCTTTACGCCCTAACCACGCGACTGACAAGCGACACGAAACACTTCGTAAATGCTGTGAAACCTCTGCTGCTGGCAAGGTAGTCATTCAGTATAATAAAACCAAAATAAAGCACTAAATTATTTTGCGACATGATTTTCTTTTGAACTCGTCCCGCAAAAAGACGTTTTCGGATAACCATATTAAAACTAAAGAAATATCTTCCATATTTCATGTTTCATGCTCCTCGATAGCCCTGGAAGCACTTATTTAACAATAAGGACTTTCAGGGCTTAAAGCAGTGAAAATTATAATAATAATTTAATAATAATAATGATAATTTATTGCTGGCTAAACAGTACAAATGTACTATAAACGTTTTTGTCAGTAACATTATATACATATTCCTAATTGATAATGATGTGAGCAGCATTGCGTGAAACCTTGTTTATTCTGGAAGCCTTACACAAGTTGCTTTTACACAATAGAACTAATCCATGTCAGGATTGAAGGTTCCTGTTAATGCTTGTGACTTTCGGCGCATATTTTTACACTTAGTATACGAATAGACGATGTAACTACGCACGCAAAATGTACCAGATAAAACACAGAGACCAGAACGACGCCCAAAATACAATAAAAATACACAATGACTGATTACGACCTGCCAGACATCTGAACAGGTGCTGCATCGAAAACAAAATAATAATAACCAAAAAAAACGCACATCGAATTTGCAAACAAAATTGCCTATTTTGAAACTGATTTCCGGTCACGAGTTATTTCCCTTCACAGACCAGCTCAAAGAGTTTCCAACTACTTTTCGAGAAATTGTCGTTCACAAGAGTACGGACCTGAGCCATTATCAGTATCTTAACCTGCTATCTAGAAATAAGAGAATATTAAATCCGTCTTTTGGCCGAGAAATGTTGCTGCACAAATTGCCACTGACTGCAACAGTATTCAGTAGGTCCTTATTTCGCACTAACTACTTTGTCGGGGGAAATTGCGCTGCATTCGCCGCCGGTCGGTATATAAGACACACCAACTGATGACAAGTATCGTATTGAATCAATATATTCGTTAAGGGCTAAATTATTGGAGAAATTAAGTTATTACGTAATAAATGCTTTCGAGATAATTGCCTGAAACTGAGCTACTTTTCGGAGAAACTCTTATCAATATATTATTTAAAAAAAGGCGTGATATGTTCAGTGGGTAAAACGCTTCCGAAAGTCGGAAATTGCAGAAAGAGAGCAGAAAAGAAAGTGCTTTAATGAGCATAATTTATATTACCCTCAGTCTTAATGCTGAATTGTTGCCAAGTCTACTGAATCTCTACTGAAACCTCTCTTGAACTTGACAAGCTTGAACGGCACTTCTGTAGTGAAATCAAGGTCACTACAAAAGCCAAATAACATTGTAATCTCTATATAAATAGATATTGATCTGGGTGTTTCGTGATCATCAACTCATCCGGTAAGAGAATATAGAAAATTATTTATATTCTAGACCTCTTTCAATATTCAAACAAACATTATGATAATTACGTTCGTTTGTTCTTTGCTCTGGCTCAAAAATATTATTTTTCAGAAGTATCAGTGATGGCTTAAGACTCGGCTTCTCGTTTGTCCAAATGAGAAAAAACGATGTCTGCTAATGGCCCGGGGCTGATGGGCGAGTAGGAGTTTCTCAGTTCGCCTTTTCTCTGTGCAGTGTGCGACAAACGCAGGCTGCATATTTTATTTCTATATGAAAAATAATGTTGCGTAGTTGGAGAAGACGGGAGAATGGTGTGCGACAAACGCAGACTGCAGACTTGCAGACTGGCAGGTAGACGAGATAAACATTGTTGTCAGTGAAATACTCAAACAGATTCCCTATCCCTAAACTTGACTTTTAGGAGACTTGAAGTTTAGCGATAGAGAATCTGTTAGAGCATTTCACAACAATGTTTATCTTGTTTACCTGCCAGTCTGCAAGTCTGCAGTCTGCGTTTGTCGCACACCATTCTCCCGTCTTCTCCAACTACGCAACATTATTTTTCATATAGAAATAAAATATTCAAACTCTCTCCCACCTCTCTTCTACACGGTTAAGCATTATTTTAGAACATAAGGTGTAGAATACCGTTATTTTCTGACTAAGAATCTTGTCAAAAAGGTACCTCGTTGTGCCATTACACTTTCCCTCAACACCTTATAAAGATTACGATCTCATAAAGATAACGCACTTCCGTTTCGGTCCCTGGAGTTGTAAATACAGTACAGTTGTTACGTGTTTGACTTAAAATCTATGAACCTATGATCCTGCCAATCTTTGAGGACGGATTTGTTTTGCCTGATTCGTCAGTAAGTATTTTTTCCAATCGCTAATTAGCCCAATCAAACTTGGCAAAAAGTACATGCAATTCAATTTTCACTGTTTCACATGAACTACTTACAACGGATTTGAGTGAGTCCACTGTATCGAAGGATTCAGCTCGCATCTTCCCAAATAAAACATAATGGATAAGATTAAACCATACTGAACTCCGAAGAGAAATCCCATGATCGCTCTTGTAGAGTCCGCTGAAATCCTGATATACTGCTTAGAATATTGATATTAAAGTTCTTGATAATCGGTTTCCACGAATACCCAGAAATTGCTTTCGGTTATTTGCAAGGGCGTTCAAGTAAACAACCCAAGCAGAGAATAACGTAATTTCCGGTTTTCTTCACGTGAGCTCTTGACATGATAAGGGAAAACACCTTTTTAACAGTTCCTCGATGGCTTCATTATAAAATAAGCGAAACTGTTGTAAAGTAGTTCAGGAAAAGAGGTTGACAGTCTTGACAGACAAGGACAAACCCTTCACTTACAGGCACGACGAACCAATAAAATTGAAATTTATTCTTCGTTACGTGACACCCACGACTGGCACAAGACCACAAAACCTCCGTGACAGTACCTTAAATCATGCATATCAAGGCACAAGTTTGTTTAAATATATATATATTGTTGTTTTATTCTTTTGTTTACTTCTTCATCGCCTTGCCGTTAGGATCAGTTTGCCGTTTCATATTTTTCTACAAGTTTAATTGTACTGATTCAGGTCTACAACTGGGAAATCCGGCACCACTCATTGGTTTGTTGCTGTGGACCTGCTGACATTTTACACAAGTTTATCGCCTGGCAACCAGACTGCACACTCTCAGATCACTGTTGTCGCGCGTAGTCGCGCGTTTATCGCACAGGCCACGATAACGTACAAGCTCTCTTCCAGTTTCTCTTGGCTCGTTCGCTCTATACCAAATTGAACTCTGTACGCTATACCGAAAACAAGAAACTCTCACGGCGCAGTCTACCTAAAAATTAAGTCTCTAATTTTTCAGTGCTATTGATTGGGACTTCCGGGGTGGTGCAAGTGCCGATTGTTCTAGTACCTAATAAAGAAAGGATCAAAATTATTCATTATTACTATCGTCTTTTATCATTATTTATTATCATTATCATTATTTTCATGTTAAAAATAACTATAGCTTTTTGCTAAATCTTCCGCTTCTTTCAAAAATTTGCTGCCAGAAGAAAAGACTCAGGTGAGTCTATATAAATTTTTTTTATCTTTGAAGGCGATTTATTTCACCTTTTTTGTCGTAAGCATTATGCCCTGATGGTGTTTGCCGACTTATAGTCTTAGTTTTAACCGATAGATTTTCCAGTATAGTGAAAATGTAAGGCTTCTTACTTTTTATCAAGTCAAACTGTACTACATGCAACCTCGCACAAAACCTGTTAAAACACATCTCAAAGAAGCTATTTTTTCCTGTAATCCTGAAACAAACGGAAACCGTCGCCCGCATGAATGTCCGTTTTCCCCCCTCCCCCCATTCAATGTTGTTTAGCATAACATGAGAATAGGACATTTGGACGATGACGTCATTTTGTGCTTTCCATTCATATGTTTTTAACATGCTCCCAGCAAGCCTAGCTAACAAAAGCCCTGATTTCCATAAGAAAGCAAAACTCAAAGGATTCTGGTCGTAGTAGTAAAATGAAGTCCCGTGCAGATGGCCTATTAGACACGTCATGTTTCCTTTAGACAGCCCTGGGGGCCAGCCTCGACTCAGCCTCGTCTCCAGGGCTAAGGAAAAAGCACTGGGGACAAGCAAGGGGGGCGGGGTTTTTTTTAAAACCAAAACAACTTTGTATTGGGGGTAGGAAAGGGACTCACTTTTTCTGTTTAGAGGAGATAGTAATATGGCGTATGTCTCAACAATTTTGTAGCCTGTGATTCAGATGACCCCACCTAACCCGTAAGCTAGCTAGCCTGTGAACAGGCCTTTGGTCGAGCGGGGCTATAACCTAGCCTGTACATCACCTAACCTGCTGCAGAAGAAGGAAGTAGTACCAGGAGCCACACATGTCCAATACTCTCGACCAGATTCCAGTGGACAAAACTTGGACAACCCTCCCAGGAGCCGATTACTTAGTTTGGCTGGCCGAAGCAGTTGTGAATAATTCAATTTTGGAGGGTGAATCCTCGTGTTTTATTTTATTTTTTTTTAACTTTTGAGATACTTGTAAAAGCCGTCCGGTCCTCCAAACCCTTACCTTATTTTTAACCAAAATATTTCATTTTCCAACACTCTAGTTTGTTTCTCCGATGTCAAAATGTCAATCAAATAAAAGGTAAAACTAACGCAAGGTTGTTGTTGTTGGTTAAAATGAAATTATCACGACACTTCCCGTCACCTGACTGTCCGTCTTAGAGAAGTGTCCGACTTGTAGAGAGTCAAGGTAACGTGACATCAGTAAAAACTTAAACTGAACCCATTCGCTTTGAATATAATCGTCTGTTTAACTTGTGCAAAAGTTCAGCTAAAACTGGAACATTGAAACAGAAAAGTGGAATCATTTTTAATTTCTTAGTTAAGCAATCAAACGTTCATTGTAAGCAAACGGCTTTGTTGTCCTGGAGGGGCACTCAATAATTTTTTATAAGGGGAGGCTTCGCCCCGACAGCCTTTTATATACCTTTTTTTACGAAAAGGGTGTCCCTTTCGTATACCTTATATTGAAAAATGGTACCCCTTTCACATACCTTGTTTAGAACTTTGCAGCCCTTTTAACTACTGTAAATGCACTTTCATTTAAATAGGAATTAATCACGAAAATAGAACGTTTTCTTGACTTTATAAAGCCGTAAAATCCATGTATTAGCCCTTTGGGCCCTTTCACAGAGCCAAATGACAGATTTCTCTGCCCTTTCATATACTTCTACGAGTAAAGTCCCTACCCTTTCATCAGTATACCTGCAGCCTAAAAAAGGTAACCCTTTCGGGCGGAGCCTCTCCCTATGGGCCAGTATAGGGAGTAGCCCCCCCCACCCCCCCCCCCCCCGCCCCACCCCCCCCCCCGAAAAAAACAACCCACAACCAACACAACGACACACACAAAAAAAAAAAAAAATTATTCTAAAATCTTATATGTCATATATTACATATAACTTTTATTTTTCTTTTTTGTTTTTATATATTAATTAATTTTTCATCACTTGTTATCCCCCCCCCCCCCCCCCGGGTTTGCAGTCTAAAAGCGTAACAGTATACACTCTGCGAACTGGAGAAAGACTACAAAATATTAAAGTGAATTTTGCATTTACTGTCATTTATATAGCACACCTACATTTTCGTTTTGAGGTATTGATTACTGCATAAAGCGATTTTCAAGCGTCTTAATTAGAGACTAGAGAGGTGTCCGTCTTACAGGGGTGTCCGTTAAGAGACAATTGACAGTACCCGTTATTCATGGTTTGATTACTCTTATCTCTACTTAGATTAGAACGTCAGCAAAAAGATTTGTTAAAATGGAAAACCATACCCACATATTATAATGTTCACTTAAATCTGTACAATTATGACCCTGGTCTTTTAGGTTAAATCTTCAACTGCCAAAAAGTCCCAAAAGAACTGAACTATGTTAAGAATAGTTTTGCTTTCACGGGTGTTAAACTTTGGAATTCTCTCCCTTCGAGTTTAACGGAAGAGACTTTTCTGAATGACAAAATTTCAAAGTTTAGATCAGGTCGTACACTGAGAATCGAGAAGTTCTTGGAAAGTGTGAAAGTGTGGCAGTTAATTAATAGTGTGACAGAATGTGTGACAGTGGAACGGGAGGTTTTTGCTGTGGTCTCGTTCCCAGGCGCTTAGATCATTTCCAAATTTGGAATCCTCCAGGCCCACTCCTGCAAGGGCGGCCATTTTGTATCGCTTCCGCCCGTTTGAAAAACTACAATCTACAAGAAATCCTTGCCATCCTCTGGCCTTTTTCAAGGCTTTTTGGTAATAGAAGATCGGAGATACCTCCTTTGACCTTCCTCGTCACTATTTCCGGCTGTAAACGAATTTGCGAAGCAGGAGGCTGTGATAAGGTGGCGTAAGATTTGAAAGACGTTATATTTATCAGGATTTACCAAAGGTTACCGCTATGGGCACGAAAGATGACGAATACGACTATCTTTTTAAAGGTATGTATATTGTACGTCTTGTTTTTGCCTATCGCTGGACAGATGTTCCGAGAACTTTTCTGACACTTTTTGTCCTGTCCTATGTTTCCACAGTTGTTCTCATCGGCGACTCAGGTGTTGGCAAGTCAAATCTTCTCTCTCGGTTTACAAGAAACGAGTTTAATTTAGAGTCAAAGTCCACTATCGGAGTAGAATTTGCTACCAGAAGTATACAAGTTGACGGAAAAACCATCAAAGCCCAAATATGGGACACTGGTAAGATGACATGGGCATTTTGTTTATCAGTTGCTCGGTTATTTGGGCTTGTAAATTGCTCAATCTTTTGAGCTGGTGTAAGCTTTCAACCATGGAGGGGGAGTGTTAGTTCTTCTTCCCCCGGAAGCTATGTGTTAACCGAGTTTTCTGACACTAGGAGAGCATAAAACTTAAATAGTTCATGAAAGGGAACTCGTAAGACAGCATTACTATTATGCCGTAAGTGTGTTATAAAAAATAATGATCAGGACTTATCACACTCTTCGTTGAATGCTAGAAATTGGCTTCACGAGTGTTAATATTGATCATGCAGTATTAACTTTCGCTTGTTTCACTTTTCACAGCGGGACAAGAAAGATACAGAGCTATAACAAGCGCGTAAGTTTTCCCGAATATCACGTATTAATTGTTATTGTGTCTAGTCTGCCATTGCGTCTTGTCACGAGCCTCAAATTGCTATTATTGTACCATTTTTTACTGTGCATTTTATACCGCCCTGTGTTAATGATACAGCTTACGAATTTGTTATAACATGCAAAGTATTCCAAATACACAATCCATGATGTACGCATTTGTTGTAATTTTGTACACATGCATGAATGTTTCAACATCTATAACAGCATAGGTGTCAAACCCCAAATACTTGAACTTTATACAGTACATGGATGGTGTAGAACTCGACAGCAGCAGGGGCCTTTAGCTACTAAAATATCTATGTATTGAATAGAAAGCCTGCTTGACTTCACTAAAGCACAGGCTAATGGTGTAAGCAACATGGCTTTTTAATTTTCTGAGTAAAAGTTTAAAAAATTATTAAACAACAGAGTGTTCAAAAGCTGGCCAAGACTTCTTGATTTTCAGTAGGAAACCATTTCTACTTACCAAAGATCAAGTCATTGAAAAAGCTGTTTGGTATTTCTGTTTACAAGGTCTTAATGGTATTGTTGTATCATGGTGCCCCTTAACAACAGAAATAAAATGACTTTTGTGTTGCATATATCATTGCCAACACTATATGCCTATTGTTAAAAGTTAAGTTTGTACTTGCACTATGTGGAATATCTTTCATAAAATTACAACAATCCTGAGCGATTCATCATCCATTTTGGTACCATGCAAAGAAATTACTGCTGGTCTCGGGAAACCTCTGTTTTCATTGGATATTTTTCATTGGGAAATCTCTGTTTTCATTGGATATTTTTCATTTTGATAGATATTACAGGGGAGCTGTTGGTGCCCTTTTGGTTTATGACATTGCAAAGCACTTGACATATGAAAATGTGGAAAGATGGCTGAAGGAACTCAGGGATCATGCTGATAGCAACATTGTGATCATGTTAGTGGGCAACAAGAGTGATCTTCGGCATCTGAGGGCTGTTCCCACAGATGAGGCTAAAGCCTTTGCAGGTGTAGTATTTTATAATTATAACAGGGTTGCTTTTCAGTGGGAAAGGGAGAATGCCATAGATTTACTGCATTTTTAAATTTTGGATTTAATAATTTGTTTTACACAGTGAGACACAGAAGTTGATTACTTAATAGTAATACAGTCGGGAAATCTGAAGTTCGTATGGGCCTTTGCTATATGCTGGGGTCTATTTAAATCCACTTGATTGACAAATCTTTCGTATTTTATTTTGTTGGTGTCTTTGGCTGTCTGAAGGGTAGACATCTCGCCCTTTTCTTGTAACCTCCTTGATGGTGTCTCTGTTTTAACTTTTTTTCCTGCAAGTCACTGTACTTTACACTGCATACACTATCAAAATCTCATGTGAAGCCCCTGAAAAAGAATGGAAAATTAAACCTCTATTAAGTGGCCACTTATGTTAAGCAGCCGCGGCCATTGTCATCACCTGTATTAAGTGGGCATCAGGCACTTGATACACTTAGTTTGGCTTCATGTTAACCCTTTAAGCCCCAATATCCACATACAAATTCTCCAAACTGATCTCCATACATTTCCTTCATGGATGGGTTGAGAGAAATTGATAAAAGATGAAAGCATTGCCTCTTAGGTGATCATTTTGTTAATTCTCATAACCTAATCTCTTGACATTGTGTGGATATTGTTAGGAGAAAATTGATGTTGGTCACCACTGGGACTTAAAGGGTTAAGAATATGATGAAGGAAAATACAGTCCGAGATAGAAAGTGGCAACCAATTGTGGACCAGTAATGCTTCTTCCGCTGCACATTTGTTTCAAAATAAAGTTATGTTTAACTTCTACTAAACATTATGCTGATTTACGATGAACTTCTATTGAGTGGCCAACCTCTATTGAGCGGCCACTTGTTGATACCCAAGGGTGGCCGCTTAATGGAGCTGTTTCAACTGGAACTGTTTTCCTACTTACAATTTCAGAAAAAAACGGTCTTTCATTCATTGAGACATCAGCATTGGACTCGACAAATGTGGAGGTGGCATTTCACAACATCTTAACAGGTTAGCTTCCAGCTTCTTAATGCATACAATGCACATGTATAAAATTATTGTTTTATGACACTACCAATTTTTTTAATGGTCAAAAGTGGCCTTGATGTACATTGTACAACTAGTGCAGAAAGAGTTCTGGGCTTTAGATCATTTTTGAAATACATGTTTTTGTTTTCCTTAAATAAGTTTCGATCCTAAAGTATCACCAGAAATGAATTACATGCAGTACTGTCATAAATATTATTGCAAGTTTCAACCGTAAATTGTCATCTTTTTTGGTGATTATGTTACTGTATGTGTACCAGTTGGCTTTTCATGATATTAAATTATTTTTTAAAGTACATGTAAAGAAAAACTCTGTCCATATCTACACGTATTTCATATTTTATTACTTAAAAAACATTTTAAACTGTCATTGAACCATGCATTCACATTCCTATATTATAATCATGTATTATATATAATTATTAATAATAACACTCTTTTGTTTGGCAGAAATCTACCACATTGTATCCCAAAAGCAAATTCATGACTCACCTGGTTCAGATGGAAACCAACCGAGTAGCAATGTCCAGACTATTCATGTAGAACCCACAACAGAGGCTGATCATAAAAAGAAAGTTCAATGTTGTAATGCTTGATTACCTAATTAAGTCTTAGTCTAATGTCAACCAATACATATTGGGCTATAAGCCTTTCAGTACACTGCCAATTGAACCTTTCCAAAAGTCTTGTTTATTTTCCCTTGATAGTATATTAATGTTAAATCGAATAGTCTATAGAGAGAGACTACAAAAATATTGTTCAATTGTCTCTGAAAATTGTCTCTTTTAGGGGAATTTTGTAACAGGTATCTTTTTGGGCGCTTTCTACTTGCTAAGCCTGATAGGCCTTCCTTGAAATACTATAATCTTCTCTGTGCACTGTATACAACAAGGCCAAGTTGTTTGAAGTATCATTTAATCTAATCCTGGGTGAAATTAACCTATGCAGGATTTCTTTTGGCTCATCAGTCAATCCTCTCCAGCCTTGTAGAGCATTGCATGATGAACCAAAGTACTATCTTCTTGGGTGAGACGGGTTAACAAGAGAAGCGACAGCCGGAAATGCTTCTGTGTTTGCCGGCTGGGGTTAATGCTAAAGAAGACAGGATTATTGCTAATTGGCCTTAAAATAATTATCTTGGCCCACACTGACTTTTTTGCTCTAGAACTACATTAATATTTTTGCTACTTTAACCTGCATGAATTCAAAGATTTTCATCAGCTGTAAAAGCCTACATGCTACCTCTGAGTTTTGATAAGGGTGACAAGAAGGCTTTCAGTTACAATAAAGAGAAAAGCTACTTAAACTGAGGTTACTATTGTCATGCATATGGTAATTTTTGGGAAGGTCTACTGGTATACTGGTATACTGGCAAATGAAAATATGAACTAAATTTTATTTTGTATTTCCATCTTTTTGGAATGATTCATCTTTTCAATATTGTAACTTTTTTCCGGGAGGTTGAGTTTGTGAACTTGTTTAAAGAGGTGCTGTGGATATGCCACGCCTGAACTGTACCCAAGTTAATTCGCTGACCAAGGACAAGTTCTTGATTGTGTGTGCTTTCAAGCAGCCTGTCTTCTTTGTTCCTTTGGTTTTCATTCAGTGTTTTTTTTTTTCAGTCATTCATCAGTTCTTGATGATGATCACTGAGCTATTAATTGAAAAAGGCATAAAAAAGAATTGAAACAATGAATGATGCTTTCTTTTCTGGCATTGTGGCAGCAGGATGGGAAACAGGATGGTTTCTATTCTTTTTGTTCAGCAAGAGCCTATACCATGTTATGATTTGGGCATTTTCACCAAAGCTGGCAGATGGAGTGAAAAAATTAAAGCATCGCTAAAGAAGTGGATGAATAAGTGATGAGTTTCGGTGAAAAACAAGGATTTAGTGGACATTTATTCTTGATGTACTGTAATTGGCTCTTTGTGCAGGTACCATCAACTCAAAGGAATCAAAGGAACCAAACAATAGAGTTCTCCTGGGTGCTTTATTGTTTGGTTGTATTTTTTCTTTTGTTGTACATAATCTGTGCCTTGATACCTACAGAAGAAACCTAAATGGATTGCAGGTTTTTTCTGTTTTCTGTTTAGTTTTTTCTTCTTGTTGGGGATTTCTTTAGGTCTCAAGCTAATGTTCTTTTATGTTGACTGAGCTTTATTATATCTTCTCAATATCAAAACTGATTAATAACATAATAACACGATAAACTTGAGATGATGAAAGTCTCTAGTGTTAATTATATTTTGGAAAAATGTAGAATAAAGGCCTGAGTTAGCTTAGGCATCCTGCCTGCAATATACAGGATTATTGTGTATAATTCAACACATTGAATCTAATGACATTTTAATATGGACACATATTTTACGTTTATGTATACATTTGTTTCTACGTGTTGACTTGCTTGATAAAGGAGTGTTTAGATTAACCATAATCAGTATTTGAGGATCAGGTCAAAGTAATTTGTAATGTTATTGACTAAACTGAATGCGAGCAAAGGAAAATACATGGTCTTTGTGTAATTTTCAAGAAAGAGTTTTATTGAGAGACTATATGATATTGGCTAGACCCTTTTATGAAAGTTAAAGGTCTTCTAAACCCAAGTAATCTCTCTGTTCATCACAAACTTCTTGTGTTGCCTGTAGATGAAATGTGCAGGTAAAATATACGTTTCATCGTTTCCCTTACCGTGTCGATCCAGAATATACCCATGGAAAGGAAGGTGTGTCAAAGACTCATAAAAAGGGGCCTGTGAACAGGCACTCTGTTTGAGGAAAGGGTGAAAAAATCGCAAAGAAAGAGAACGGCACCCTTTTCCTTCCCTTTCCTCGCGATTTTTTCACCCTTTCCCCAGATGTTAATTGGAATTTCCACATGTCCTAGGGAGTCCTAGAAAAAAATCCCTTCCATGGGGAAGGGTAACATCCTCGTAACCTTTTTTAATGAAACAGTATTCTAAACTGTGAATCGGGTTACAACAAATTTATGCAATACCACTGACTATTTTCACCGAGACCGAGAATTTTGCATAAACATTGTCTTGATTTCTCTTGGGACGACTGTAATACCCAGGAGAAATAACCCGTTCTATGTCATGTGAAAACACTATTAAAATTCTAACATGACTCCGAGCTTCAGTTGTCTCGTAATTGCCAGAAGAGACTTAACACAAAAACAAACCAAACTAAATATAGAAAAGAGATCAGAAAGCCTCTGAGTCATGTTAGAATTCTGATACAGCTATTTCGAGAAAGGTTGTTGGAAAAATGTGCACGCGACAATCCCGAAAGGTAATATGGGATATGTTCAATACACTGTTCCTGACCGGCTGTAGCCGTCGAACCTACTTTTGTTGCTTTCCTTTAGCACTCGCAGACATATGCCCATGGCCTCTCTTGCCATTCTTTCAAATTTCTTTGAAAAACAGTAACCTGAGATCAGGCTCTATTTTCGTTTCGCTTTGAAGATTACATTCCGGCGGGCATGGCGAAACGAAAAGAGAGCCCAATTTTAGCGGTAGCTGTTAGAGAGAATGTATGAGAACCGCCAAAATTGGGCCTGTTCTCAGGTTAGAAAAACAGTGAACTCAAAACCACCCACAATACCTTTCGGGGTTGTTGCGTGCACTTTATCCGACAACCTTCCTCGAAATAGCTGTATATCGAACGTGGGAACATTGATTATGTAAAACTGGGGGGGGGGGGGGGGGGGGGGGGTTGATGTGTGTCGTAGATAAAAAACAAAGCCCCAACACACCACCCGCACTTCTGTCGTGGTGTTTGCACGGAACTCGCACGACGCCGTCTGGAAAAAGAGAGTTGTAGAGGAGGAGGGGATATATTTATGATTAAAGGGGGGGGGGGGGGGGGGGGGTGGGGGGGTAAAAAAGGTGCGTTACTGGTCTTGGTAAAGTTAAAAATAATGTGCAAGCAGGCAATGGCGAACTCTCGTGTCTCCTTTCTAGATACAGTTCCGAAATGGAGAGTACCAGCTCATTCGCAGGCTAATACCGACCTAAATTCTAAATTTGTTCTATTGTCCTAAATCCTTAAAAAGGACGTTAAAGACGAGGCGTGGCTGGGTTGGGGGCGGGGGGGGGGTGGGGACGGCCGGATTGTGGGTGGCTTTGCGTACGGGCAACTTTGTTCAGCTTTGCTCACACTATGTACCGGATAGAACCGGATAACTTTGGCGCCGACACGAAAACCATAGCGGATACTGAGTTTCCACGAGCCAGCGAATCCTGTGTTCTGATTGGCTACCCAACAGGCAAGACGCGGACATATCGGGACAGTTATTTAAGGTGGCTGAACACTGTTTTGGCAGTTTGTGAGTATATGTCATTTGCCAAATCATGTCAAGAGCAATGTCGCAGCTCACAAGCTGAAACTTGGCAAGTGAAAAATATACTGATAAAAGATGCTTATTGACAGGTAAAATTTGACGATTTCGTAGTTTCCATGGCAACATGTAAGATTGAATACAACCTTTAAATTTCACTTTCGCTCAGTTTACATAAAATTCGCTCATTAGATTTTCCTATAAAACTTGCACACAGCTTACTATAATTAATCATTGCCATTTGAAACTTATTTGACAGAGTTTTAACAGACGAGTTTTTAGATAATCAATAATATGATTGTAGTGTAATTATTAAATGTGTCACAAAATTCGTCTGTTCAACTTGCATTTAAAAGTTCTCATTATACAAAATACGATAAAAGTAAAAATTCTGCCAAATAACGTAAATTTTAATAAGTAGATTTTTTGAGAAATCGTCTTCTGTGTACCATTGCTTTTTTCGCCGCCATGTTTGTTCACGTCTAATTTAAAACACGCGCTACCGCTGACCGCCCGCAAAACTGTGTTCAGACACCTTAAACGGAGTTTAGCCGGTATTTAACCAAACTGGTGCGTTCTAAGCCATTTTCAGTTTACAGAACGCTTTTACGTCAACACCATTTATCTTGAACAGTTTCATGAAAACATTTAGCGTAGACTAGAAAAGCATTTGTCTTCTTAAAATAACCCATTGATGAAGATATCTGAAGGTCCAAAGATTTGTTAAACCGCGGTTTAAGTTAGACTTCGTTTAGATAATCGACCCATCTTGTCTGAAATGTCATCTGTCTCTTCGCCCCACCCCCCAACGGGCAGCAAGACGAGAGAGACTCTCCTCGCCGCCCGGGATTGCGCCTATGCCCCGAGACAAAAATTTCTTTTTGCATCATGATCGATATTTTACATTCTTTCGACCAAGATGACTGGACATTGGCTGAGTCCTTTTCTCATTTTTGGCTTTCGGTGGCCAAACAGTAAAAACCCGCGATTAACAACCTAAAGGATCGCACACAAAAAAAGATGGGGGTGAAAGGGGGGTGGGGGGAGAGGTTGAAAGAAATTAGCGAAATTCTGTCTACAGCCACCTTTACACAAATCCCTAAACACAACACGAACAACAACAACAAAAAAAAGGTCCTGAAACTGAGCTCAGTAAAGAAGCTATTGGACAGGGGAAGTTAAGAGAAATTAATTACAAAATGTTTACTAACCCGCGGTTTTCACAACTCCAGGTAGATTTTAATTTTCTCTTTT